TGGATGGTTAAAACATAAAGGTTGGAGTGTTGTGAATTCCTTCTGTCATTTTTAGACAAGTGTGACAGTAATGAGTGTGTCATTGGTCTAGGTCACGTGGTTGTTGTGCAAACAAGTTGGGTGATAATAAAAAATTGAACCGACCCATGGAAACAAAAATTAAAAGAACATATAACATTGGATGCATCTCTTTTAATAAACCAACTAAATTATTAAATATATATAGATACAAATAAGTTCATTTCCAACCGATTATATCATAATTTTTAAATGCATAAACATCCTTTTGTGAACTCATAGTCTCATCTACGAAAAATATATTAAATGAGATTTATTATATGTGATGGTTATGACCTACTATTTTGATGATGACCATAAATGACATAAGGAGAATCGACAAAATTAAAGCATGAGTATGGTCTAGATTATTAAGGTTCTTGTGGTGTGTTTCGTCAACTTCAACTAGGAAATGTTAGTGGCAATCAATCAATATTATTCATAGCTTTTAGTGTGTGGAACTATCCTGCACCTAACAATAATTAATGCCCTGTGGTGGCCCTATATATATATATATTTATTTATTTATAATGCTAATTAATCCTAAGTGGTCCATATATCAATATTTGTATTTATATTTTATATGATCTAATTAATTCGTCAATTAGTCGTAACTTCCTAACAAACTAGCCACAGTTAGATTTTAAAGCAAACTAGTATTTGAACAATGATCATCACAATCTTTAAAGTTCAATTTATATATATGTATATATATATTTACACACATAGTTGGGTTAGGTCAGGATTGTGAGGGGTGGGCTATTACCGTTGAGGGTGCAATTGTTGTTCATAATCGAAATATCTTGTTATATTGATGAAATTTTAAAATTTATGATATTTAACGTTTTTTAAATAGCAAAGCTGTTATAATCCAACGTTTGCATGACATATAAAAGAGAGTGATTGAGAAAAGAATATAGGAGATTAGTTCTTAATGTTGGACATAAATAAAAAAAAAGCATATTGTTTATTCGAAAATTTACAACTACGTATTAGAAAAGAACGACATGCACCATGTTGTGGGGGCTTCCCCCACAGTTTAGTATTGGGAGAGCCGGGGCAAATGTTAATTTTTTATTAAAAATAATAAAAAATATTGACAATAAGAATACGACAAGACAACGGATAATAGAATGTTTAGTTTAAATCTTTTCTATAAATGCGGTTTTGATTCTCTCTTAATCAATCAATTAGGATGTCAAATGACTGGCATCATATCATTAAGTGACGGATCAACAACAAAATGTTATTTTAAGTTTATTTAAACTTGCAATTGGATAATTAGGATGGACAAGAGAAAAACATGTAATACTATTCTTTATGAGAGAAGAAAAGATAGGAGAGAATAATGTAAACATCTATTCATGTTCCGATAACAAAAGAGACGACAAAAAGAAAAAAAAATTTTTTTGATAGGGATAATATTTCATTGTGTTTAAAATAACTTTTTAAAAAGAGAAAAACGACAAGAAATAATTGCTTTTAAAACAAATTGTTAATATTTTTGGCCAAAAAAACAAAAGAATTCACCTGTTATAAAAAACGGATTTGAATTTGAAGAGGTCTTGCTTGCACTTTATCAAAGGTGAAGATTACATCATCATTTGATGAGAGTTGATCATTTTTAATGAGTCTTATGTAATGATTTAATCTTCACAACAATGTCTTGATGAGTCCCATCTATCAATTTAACATCAACCACATGATTTTCTCCGGCTCTCTCTATTGCTCGAGAGGATCTTTGTCAACAAGAAATAGAGACAACATATGGTTCCTAATTCTTCTATTATTGCCTTTCATTTTCTCATATTCAACGAAAACATTAGTTGAACGGTTAAGTCATTACATCATTTTTTTTCTCTTTCATTTTCTTATTTGACCAATTCTTATTCACTCCTGAAAACAAAATAAAAATTAGGATAGTGTTCACATTTTGAATGGTTTGCATAATTTTCTTCCTAGTGTTCATTATTAGGCTGAATAGTGTAAAAATCAGAACATTGGAGGACATAAAAGCATCATTTTATCACAAGTTGAGCCCTACTGAAAAGAAAAGAGAATCCATATTATCTGAATAAAGTAAAGTTTGGAATAAACAAAAATGTGTGTTTGTGGGGAATACACTCCCAACCTGTCAATTTTTAAATAATAAACACCAGATGAACCCGAACCCCCCATCAACTGGGACCCACAACACAATAGAAGTGACACGTTGGAAAACACATTACACTACTAATGTGTTTCCAAATCAACAATCACTCTCACATTATTTATTTCCTTTTATCATATTATCAGCATCTTTCATTATCAAACCAACCATCTTTAATTAAGAACCAACAAGACATAAAAATGAGATTCCCGCTATTACTTCTTATCCTCCTCCTTATCCAAACTTTCCCTAAGAAGCGGCTTTTATATATTCCATTCCACACCACTAGATTTAACAAAGAGGCTCCCAAGAATGTGCAAGCGACAAGAGAAAAGTGTCACTTGGAATTTTTCAAAGCACTAGTGACTCAATTTTAGATGCTTTGGAATGTATGAATATTTTAGGTTTGCCAAGTTAAAAATTAGGGATATACACATACATAGTATTATCCACATATGTAAGAACTCAGGACTTAACAAGTACTATAACCTAGGAAGACACGGATACGGGACACGGGTATGACACCACACGGATACGGCGACACGGCAAATTTCAAAAAAATAGGACACGGACACGGCGGGGATACGCCTATAAAATTATATATATATATATATATATATATATATATATAATTATATATTCAAAATATAATTACTAAAATCTTGTATAGATAAATAAAACAACAAAGAACAAAATCAATTTCAATAATTTCATCTCTGTTATAAAAAAAATATAGACAAGACAAAATAGAAAATAAATGAAAAATAAAGTTGATTCAAATTCTAAACGAAGATGTGCAGAAGAGACATAGATAAAATGAACTAAATATGTATATGAATAAACATATATATTTTCAGTCTTTCACAAAATCTTGTTCATGTAACTTATATATATATATCTTGTTTATGTAGAGAGATAATTGAAGAAGATGAGAGATTGAGAGAGGAGTGAGAGAAAATAAATTTTGTCTTACAGAAGTGTCGGATCGTGTGTCCGAGCCTCGGACACGCGTGTTCAATAAAAAATAATATTTAGACACTTCACAGAAGTGTCGGACACGTGTCCGAGCCTCGAACATGGGTGTCAGTGTCCGAAAAGTGTCCGACGCTGGTACGAGTAAAGTGTCCCTGGGAGGAGTGTCCGTACTTCATAAACTACAACAAATTTGGGTTTCAATCTATAAGAGTAAAGATGTCAAAAGTTAGGTCTTTCACCATCTCTTCTCCTCCCAACATCTCCAAAATTGGGTAATGACATTTTTTTTTTTTTTTTTTAATCCGAATTCAAATACGTATTGCACAACATTGATCTAATTCTAAGTTTTGGTCAAACAAGGACAAATTTGAATTCCCACTCCTTAAAGCTGATGTATAATGATATAGTTGGACCACAATAAAATGAATTCATCAATTTTTTTTGACAATCTCGGTTGGTGGATGGGTGCAAGATAATGGACCAACCATCACACTGACAGGTTATAAGGTGTCATGATCCCACATTATTTAGGAAAAATGAAGTGCTATATATATATAAGATTTAACACATTTTTATGATATAACACGTTTTAAAATTATAATGGTTATGAACCCATCAGGACTTCAAAGTTGCATACTCTGTAGTAGTAACAGGACGAGCGACCTCTTCGAAAATCTCTGGTTCATGGGAACCATTTTTAAACAACTATTGTGTACAACTTTAGGATTTATTTTATCAATATAAATATGGGATGAGTGACCTCTTGGGAAGTTTTTGGTTTAAAGAAACCAAAAAGTAAAATTTGTGACCACTTAGGAAGTCTCTGGTTCCCCAAACCAAATACGGATAAATATTGTGTCTAATTAGGGTGAAGGTTGTTACAAATTTAAGATTTATTTCATCAGTATAAAACTGGGGGGGGTGGTTGACAAATTTAAGATATATTTTCTCAATATAAAACTGGGTTAAGTGATTATTGACTTCCTGTTTCTTTTTTTAACATTATAAAGAACACAAATGATATTATATTATGGTAGTCGCTACAAGAAGAGTATCTAGTTAAACTTGGCTGATGATGGGCTTTTTAGCCATTTCATGAATTGGGAGTATGCACATCTAAAAAAGGATGAAAAAGAATGAAGAAGAGAGACGAAGGAATGAGTTGCCTTCAGCGAGTCTTCTCTTTCATTGACCAGAGGAATGATATTAATGTTCAAAACAAATCTTTCAACCCGCCACAACAAAGGAAACAACTCTTAGGTTGTTTAAGTCTGTTGACATATTAGTAAATTCATTGATTTTGCGGAAGTTTCTCAACTAGAAATATGTGGTTATAGCAATTTAAAATTACCGTAAACAAAAACCACTTTTGTGGTCCAACCATGTGGCATGATCATTAGTCAATTTTAGCGGTTGTATTATATTTATATATAATAGCTTTTTCAAAACCAAAACATAGCTAAATCCACTAAATTCAATAGGCATCTTGCCGACTACTTTTAAGTGGGCAGGGGTAAAAATTAAATGGGGAACACTAAAAATGGGAATCAGATTCGGCTGCATTAGTGAGAAGGTGGACTTTGCACAAATTGAGAACAAGATTAAGAGTCCCACAGAACTGTTTAATTATGTGTAGCAAAGACTAATAACTAGTATTTATGGAAAGGAGTTATATGGTCCAAAAGGAAAGCACCACAAACACACAGCTGAAAATGAGGAGAGGTTTTGGAAACATATTCGGAGGATATTACTATTACGGAGTTCTCTAGCAACTAAACAGGTTGGCATGACCAGATGAAGTAACAGCTCAGGTACGAAGGAAGAAAGAAGAGTTTTAAGCTCTTTCGAGATCTTTTTCATTCAAAATACCATTCGTACTTCCAATACAAAGCAATATATTGCAAATCAACTAATTACAACATACCAATGCAATATGGATGGCACTGCAATGGCGGTTGACCATGTCCTACTTGCTAGTCATCCATGTTCTTCATGTATTCCTTCGAAAGCTTATTCTCCATTATCAGCTTTTGTTCTTTGAGAAGAGAATTCCCTGATTCCAGTAAAGCTTCCAACGTTTGCTGTTTAACCAATCAAATGCAACCACCAATTAAAAAAAGTCACCCAACTAGGAAAAATGAATTAGGATTCAAAAAGAGAGACATCCTCAAAAGTTCCAAGAATATGAGTATTTATGCCAAAACCATTATAGAAGTGTGACAAGCCTAGAAATGATTTGCCACAACTGAAGAAATGTATGTATATATTCTAAATGAATAATCTTTTTCTGTTTTTACTTCCATCATTCATTGAGTCCGGTAGGTTAGATTGTATCCAATTTCTCATAAAGTGCATAGTGCAACAAAATCACTTTGATGCTCCAACCAAATTTATGACGTCAAATCTTTGGGTTCTCACCCTTCCTCTATCCCTGTTTTAAGAACTTGATATGCATTCTTTTGCGTGTCATCTAATATGGTATCAGATTTACTTACCAAAAGAACATGGTATCAGATGTTGAATTTAAAAGGTCTTGGGTATAAATGTTTCCATTTGCAATTGCTCCATATTATATGTCTATTTGTTCTATGTTCTATTTGTCTGTCCGGACTCAGTTCTATTTGTATATCTTCTTCAATCCATTGCAAGTAAAGGTTGCACCTGAAGGAGGGTTTGAGTCCATTGCCTAACAGTTGAAGCCTCAAAGCAAATGTTTGTCTAAGACCTACATTATACATAGGTCATAAACAAAAGCAAACAAATAAAGAATGAAAGACCAAAATAAAGGTGCTTCTAAAAAATTAGTAAGAATCTAAGGGGTTTGGTATGAACAAGCAAGAGAATTCTGGTATCAATAAAGAAGTTTCATAAATGGTTACCGCAACATACTTAATAGAAATGTAATAGAAAAAAATATCAGGGTTGAACTTTTACTCAAAGGACTACATATATTGTAGCTCTTAATGTACTGTTGGTGATTTCAACGGAAGCCTCCAAGGAAAAACAGCAAAGAAACAGAAGCCACATAAAGAAATTTTGCCAATTTATGGAAAGATTTCCGCACACTGCTACTAATCTCATACAAAGAAAGCTCTAATCTTCTTTTTCCTTCGCACACAGGTCTGGATTTGGCCACTATCCTCTATCCACTTCCTTGTAAAGGAAAGAATTAGGTTTAAGGATGTCATTTCTTTATTCACAAGAAAGAAGTGTTCTATTATATTTGATAGTTACATCACACAATACCTTTTAAAGTATAAATTCATAAAAAGGTTCTCCGGCAATGTTTGACTGCAGAAACCCTTTTAATTCTCACAGGGAAGATACGAGCAGGAAAGCAGTACTGGACATGATGGAAAAACAACTGACAAATGAGGGGAGGAAAAAATAGATGCAACCCATGTTGTTCAAGCACAAAATGAGCAACATGTTTTATGCACCACCATCTATCCTGGAATGAGCTGCATTTTTTTTTTGGTAGCTTAAGAGTAGGTTGATCATAATTTGTGAATGTGGATGAAGAACTCTGGTTGGAATAAGCAGTTCAAAACTTTTAATTGTTCAACCAAGCTCCAGCATCAAATTCAAATGTGTTCCAGTTCTATTAGAAGAGAGTTCCATATAGCTTTTAATGATTTTAAAAGCTTTTCTAGAAGCAGAAAGCACTCTCGGTTTAGCAAACCCTGCCTGGCCTTGTTGAATATATTTATTTATCTACACAGAGCAGCTTCAGAAAGCTTCTTTCAGAGAAAAACCCTATAAATCTGGCTCAAGTAGGTAATAAAGATAAAGAACGGAGTTCTCGCTTTCAAATTGTAGTAAACCCGAAAAACGGAAGATCTACTACCTACAATAAGTTTCAACCTTTATAGAAATACAAGGATCCATGGAAAAGCCTGATATGAAAAGCGCTACCTTTGGGGGAACATATACTGGAAGTTTTTCATCCTTCCTTCGCTTGAGAAGTTTATTTCCAAGATTTTCAACACCTCCAATATCATTGATCCACTGCAATTGAATATAAGTTGTACAAAAGAATATTCATCACTAAGTAAATATAATGCCGTTGAGAAATTTGTTGGTGTTATAAGGACGAGATGGGTCTGTAATTTCCACACACACACATACAGAAAAAGAAGTTGGGTCTAACTAGTAAAATAAACACCAAACAGAGATTGAATTTGAAGGTGATTTGTTCCATGAAATCTTCAGACCTATTGTGAGAGAAAGTGTGTCATATATATAGAACCTGCTTGTGTGTGTGTGTAATATATAGAGAGACAGAAGCTATGTTACGCAGGTCTAGGACCCTAGGTCTGGCCACAATGCAGACCTACACTAATTGAATTATTACTGCCTATCCTTAGGCTGTAATAATTCATAATTACACTAATTAGTACAAATTTAGGGTTAGGAGCAACTTACCTTACAAAGCTCTCGTCTCTGTATAATCTCTTTGTTTGTTAACAATGTATGACTTATATTCTTTTCATTTACAATATTTTGTATGCCGTGTCCGAGTACCTGTGCCTGGTTTTTGGACACTTTTAATTCGTGTCACCGTGTCCTATAATTTGATAGATAGATGGATCCGACCCCTAGACACACACCCAAGTCTGACACCCGCACCCGAGTCCGAGTAACATAGCAATAGACAAAGAGACCATGGAAAGCAATTTATACTGCTTGCTGTTTCATATAATGATAAAATGTTGATAAAAAAAAGGATATAACTGGATTCACTTTGATTTATAATTCTCTTTTCAAGTCTAATATCGAATTCATTTCTTACACAACTTAATTCTTTCAGATAATATTTAATCATAAAAATGTACAAGATCATTACAATGTTGCATACTTGTGTGAATACAGAAAAAGCCCTATGGCTTCATTTGTCATCAATGGTTAAAAAAGAAGTAACCTAAAATTTTACATCCATGCCAAATAAGTTGCTTTAAATAGATGGCAAAGATATTCAATGTTCTAGGTCACAACAATATGTACATTAGAGATGGACTTGTCCTATAGTCTATAATCAAGTTAGAATGATAGATACCTTAGAGATTGACCGGTCATATGTCCGGGACCTAAGAGCTCCATAAAAATCCAAGGCTGCCGCCATCACCCCGAAAGAAAAAAAGAAAAAAAGAAAAAAAAGAAAGAAAGAAAAAAAAGGAACTGCAATTAACTTCATGCATTTTCCAAATAACCATAATTTTTTTTTTTTGGCAAATAACCATTCTATGTCAATATCACAACAAGAAGTGCTATGACATTAACAACACTGTTTTCATCATATTCTTTTTTATTTTTTTTTTATTTTTTTAAGTCACTGTATTTATCATATTCTTCTATTCTTCTTTTTATTTTATTTTTATAAGTCACTGTATTTATCATATTCTAGCATGAAAACTAAAACAAAATGCATAATGTGATGTGCAGGAAGGATGTTACAGTAGCATCCTTATTTTTGTCACATTTTCTCATATCACACACATAGTTATAATCATATATAAAATTATAATCATGAAAATGAAGTATGCAAGTTAACACAAAGCATGTTTATAAAAAACATGAACAATACAAAATAAAGCAAACTATAAGTCTATAAGAATAATATCACAATGACATCCAACATTTTGAAGCCTATGAGCATTTTTCAAGACATGTAAAACAGACTAATACCTTGATTAGGAAATGTATTCACTATCCTTACAACCTCATCCGTTGATATGCCATCTTTCTCATACATTCTGCGAACAATATTTATGATATCTTCCTGGTTAGGCTGCCTGTTCGACAAACAACACCTCTAAGAAGAATGACAAGGGACCACAAGATTGACTTAAATAAGAAACCTAGATTAAAAATTAATACATACCTCTAATGTAATAATTTGAAGAATAATATTGAAAAAGAGCGGGGCTCGATTTAGAATCAAGCAAAGTGAAAAAGTACCCAACTTTTTGTCAAATAAATTATATCCAACAAATGGCTTAAAGGAAAATTTCAATAACCGCTTTGTATTATGTCTCCAGCCTATTCTTGTCACTCAAAATTGAATATATGTTTATATCTTCTTAGTCTTAGAACTGAAATTTAGAGGAAAGCTCAAGGAAACATGACATGAAATCAAGTGCTTAAAGCAAGCAGACTGTAAACATGTAGATGATGCCTAAGCTGGTCATTCAAATTATCGAAGTACTTCATTTCTAACAAACTGAACATCATTCCAGAAAATTACATTTAGCCCAACAGTTCAGTTTGTACTTTGCACCGTCAATATGTATATATGTATATGAACGTGTATATACATTTATCTAAACTTGCAAGGAGGAAAAGATAAGGTTTTCCTTGATGAACATCTCAAGGCTGGAATAAGGTCAATGTTTGCAAAATCAAGAGGAAATACTATGTAATTTTAGTCCAAATATAGACCAATTTACCTCTAAGCCAAATAGAATGTTCCAACAAATAGTTATAATGTAAGGAAGAGGAAGAGTCGAGGAGACAAGAAAAAAAGAGACATTTCAAATTAATTTTGAAATGAGGATCAAATGGAAAATTGGAAATACTACTACTTTTGAAATGTTCTGAAACAACTTTTTTGTCCTTTGTAGGTCTTTAAACAATTGGATACCAGAGTGTAAATATAGGATTCCATGCTGCTATAGATATTTTTCCAATTACCTAAAACCCATTATCTCATATAGAAGTATCCTTCTTATGTCACTCACTTTATCTTGGTAAAGAACCAAAATACATTCCTTACCCTACTCAATTCCTTGATTCCAACTTGGGAGCTATCCGAGTGAACTTCAAAAGCTATCAAAATTCACAAGTAGTTAGAAGATTGCTTTGGTTCTTCAGTCCAAAAAATCATTCCTTGTATTTATCCACTACTAAAGCAGTTGGTATGCCAAAATTCCAAGCCTATCAAATTTACTGGTTCAAAACCATAACATTGTTCATCTTTTGCTTTCATTAGCGCAAGGCAGAATATTATTGCATCGACATATTGGATCCAATAACATATCTTTAAGAAACTACAAGCCCAAGTTAGCAAAATCTTCAAGAAATGAGCAAAATTTTCAATAATGAACATTTCTTTATGTTGATCAATAGTTGACCCTGTAGCAGATTATAAATGATCTTCTACGCCATGGCTATAGACCATGATGCCGAAGTAACATATATCTTAGGAAAACTCAACAGAAAATTCCTCTACTTGGCCTTCCATATTATACCTCCCGATCTAATATTCTGTGTATAGTTGCTACAAAATTCCAGTGTTCCTTACCATAACTGTTAACAAACATCTACTCTAAAAGCTTAAGCTGTTAGAGATGGTGTAACTTAAATATATAAATCTTTCAACACGACCCCTCACATGTGGCCTTCTTTTGGTCCAACACGTGTTTTTCAAATTTTTAATTACGGTGATGGTGAGGTTTGAACTCGAGACATTTGGCCTTGATACCATGTTAACAACCATCTACTCTAAAAGTTTAAGCTGTTAGAGAGGGTGTAACTAAAATAAATAAATCTTTCAAAAATAACTATACACTCCAATGAGGCCAGCCACTTCTTTCTTGGCATTTATATTATTCTGCCTCTTGCATTAACAATATGGGAAAGCATTATGCTTCAATTACCTTCTTACAACTGTAGAGCTCCAGAATTCTTTTACCCCTTGCTTGTTTGAAGCCTGGAGGTACATCTAAATTCCATTCCACTACTAATTAATGTCTACAGTCTACAGAAGCTCCTTTATTGCTCCTTTTCAATCCAACCGCTGAATCTCCATTGACAGAACCAACAGTTCCCTCACAGATTTCAGTATTGTTGTTTTCAATAGGTAAATGATGCACACACACTTGTTTGTCCCAATGGCGATTCAAATCTATATGGAAGGAGGAGATACCACTTGGGTTGGCGCTTGGTGGTAATTTCAGTGCTTCTCCCAACTCCATTAACTAAATCAAAACAGAATTGTAAAGAGATCCCTCATGCATAAAGGAGTATCAATGCTTCACTTCCTCAAAAAAATCGTGATCCTCCACAAGTATATTTTCCAGCCAGTCTCTTAGTTCTGGCTCTTAATTGAACAGGAGACCCCACACCCCCAACAAGCAAGATTAATTAGTGAGCTGAGACTGCCCTTGGGAACAATTTGTGGTTTCAAATTGTCCAAATCCAATCTCACCCCAACTCATCAAAAAGAGGAATCTATGAATCCTCGTCAAATATTGGTAGAAAGTGGTCATTTCCAAATATATAGGCCACTTAGGAGGAGAGATCCAGAAAAAAGGAACATGCTCCAACCTGCAACATACTGAAACCTTTGATTAATCTTTGAGTTGGCTCCATTAGTAATAAATAGTAAAGAGGGGAACGGGGAAATACTGGAAGTCTGATATACAAAGATCATTGTGTAGTTTAAAGGCATGACATGAGCACTGAGAGAGATGAAAATAACAAAAGGAATAAGACAAATAAAAGGGACAGAGGCAAAAGGGAAAAAAGATCCTGTCTCATTGTTAGACAACTTAGTATGGAACAGAAAAGGCATTCACACAAAGAACATTAATCCCTAAGACCATTTAGAAAAATAAAAATATGCTTCTTCAAAAATCTCATATAATTCTTCGGGAAAGAAGGGGGTGGGGGGGTGGAATGGGATCTCATCTAATCACTTTTATTTCTATGAACACGATGGAGAAGAGGTATGTCCCTCACAAGTCCTAGGATTGGAAAACCAACAATATATATGAAGCTTTTTGTTTGCCCAATTTCCAGCTCTTTGGGTGTGCAGATCTTCCAGAATCCTTGACCCGGACATCGGGTGCAGCGAGCCAAATAATTTTCCACATCTTGGACCGTCATGACGGGTTTATAAAATATTTCAGCAATTCGAGAAAAATCATTCTGTGGATCAGCATTGCCTTGGTAACAAGGATTTAAATATTCTCCAACTAATTGATCATAAAATTAAAATGGTGGAGGACATGGATATGGAGAAGTGTGCTGGTTTTTTTATGCAGCATGTGAAATGTTGTCTCCACTGCTATGAAACGGAGGAGACTCGATGAGTACAAGGAATGTTTCTCGAGCTTAGGTATGGACAACTCAATCACATGTGCATCACATGTGCTCGAAATGTTTCTCGAGCTTAGGTCCAGGCAACTCAATCACATGTGCTCCACTGTATATGCCAGCCATGGAACTGATAAATCCTTCGTGCCCAACTGTCTCAAGTCAAGACAAAACTACTGTCCCCCAATTCCACCCCACCCCACCCAAAAAAATAACCCATATGAAGGAGCTTCGTTGAATGAAGACGGTGATGAGATTTTGTTCCACACAGGCTCAAATGCATACGTTATTCATGTGATAAAGAAAGAAAAAGAAAAAGAAAAAGAAGCTAAAGAACCATAAGTTAAAGAAGAGGCACTTAAATGAACTTCATCTCATTCATATTTCGTAAGTTTACAACAGAAGAGGTTTCATATATGTAGTGGTCGCGATCTTGCTACTGTGTCCATCTTCATTGCCTTGTAATTTCCTACTTATCCTTGTTAAATTGGCCTCTAATTTCTCTAAAGGAAGCCTCGTCTCGGGGATCACCCTTTGATTTTCTTTAAAAAGCAAATGTTAATTTCCTTAATTTAGGGAGAATAAAAATGATGGAACATGGTCTTCTGACAAGAGTATGCTCACACACACACACACACATTCAAAGTGGTCCCCCATTTCACATGTACAAAATGACAAAAAGGAGAGAGCTCTATGACCCTCGGCCACTAACCTTGACGTTTGTATATTTCTCTCCCTCTCTACCAAGCGGGCCCCACTCTGATACAAAAATACAAATTAAGAAAATGGTATTCAATTCTTCACTTACCTCAACATTTATATTTTTCTCTCCCCCTCTCTACCTAGTGGGCCCCACTCATACAAAATGACAAATTAAGAAAATGGAGTTTCAATTCTAAGTGTTGTTGATTTACCTTTTTTAAAAAAAAAAAAAAAAAAAAAATCAAGTGTTATGGCCAAGGTGTCCAAAATGGGGGGACAACACTCTCGGACTGTCCTTCACATGTGAACCCTTCTTGCACACAGAGAGACAAACAAAACATACAACTCTCCTTCACACGCAACCCCCACTCACACATGAAGAGTCATAGATTTAGAACATATTGTAGATAGAGACACACATAATGGGAGAAAATTGGAAACTGAGACTTGAACTCGACATCTTCCCATATTAAAGCTTTTACCATGCTACGATTTATCTCTACAAACATGAAAGAGAGAAAAGAGAGAGGGAAAACACAACCCTGTGAGCGGAGTGGGTTTGCTCCTCAATTATGTCATACTTACTAAAACAAATTAAATTGCAAATACATTTCTCTACATGAAAATAACTTTCAACACTGTAATATAAAAGAATTCTCTTTATAGCATAACAAATAAATTCATGATATTAGCAGATAAAATGAACAGGCACAATCAGTTTTTTTTTTCCTTTTTTTTGCACTAAGAGTAGGGAGACCAGGGCAAGTATATAGGCAATAGCGTGTCATTCCAATACAGTCAAAGGACAACAATCGGTTGAGAATCTAGACAAGCGGACAGGTATATAGACCAAATTATATATATATAAATATATATATATTGTTCGTGTAACAGAAGGGCGTGAGGCACTAGTTCTTCCACAAAGTTCCTACATTAATAAAGAAAATGTACTGATACTGTTGTCTTGCTGACAAGTTTCTAAAGTGCATTATGCCTCTATAAAAAAGAAGCATTTTAGATAAAACTTCGAAGTTTTTAAATACCAATAAAGAAAAAAAGATGTACCAGTAAAATTTGTCCATTCTTCCATCACGAATCAAGGGAGCATAAATTGTTGAAAGATCATTTCCGGTAACAATGATTGGAATTCTGTTCATAACATCCTTTTCTCGCCATTCTTGCCCAATACTAACTCTTGTAGGATTATCTGACAAATTCATCAGAGTCCCAACAACAATTTGATTGTTGACTGTCATTTGAGTGTTTCCTAGATGAGCACAGAAAATAAAAAAATTAATAAAGAATTCAGAGAATAAAAGGACTCGGAGTGTCATACTATCAAGAGAGGGGGAGAGGGGGGTGGGGAGGGGATAAATAGAAAAAAAAAAAAAAAAAAAACATTATAGAAGACATGGAAAGAGCTAATAGAAAAAAGTTCTAGATGAAACAAACATTATGCCAAATTTAACTGTAGCTCACCAAATCTACCAAGGCCAGCATCAATATCATTGATCATCAAACAGCTCATCTTCCCCTGTAGTATCAAAGAATAAAAACAAAACTGTAACTTAAAGTAGGTCAATAAGAAACAACAAGAAACATCCATCATTTAACATAAAAAAAAATTTCAGCTTGGAGTTAAAGACATGTAGAATGAAAATAAATTTTCTCAAAATGCCATCCCTTTTCTAATTAATGTATTCCCAGCCTTTGTTATCCAAGAGGAAAAATTAGCTTTGTTTCATCTTTATTAAATTTAACATAAAAAATAACAAGACTAACAATTGAGTTATCCAAGAGGAAAAATTAGCCTTGTTTCATCTTTATAGAACACTACTCACGCTTTATATTACGCAATAGGTGCAATTGTGAGGTGATGGAATATGAATGCATTTTTTACTGAACCCCTCTATAACTCTCTTTTTTATTTTTTTTATTTTTTTTTTATTTTTTTTTTGGGTTGTGGTGGGGGGGGGGGGGGGGGGGGGGGGGGGGGTTTGTTTTGGGTTTTGACTTTCTTTGTTGCATGTAGATTTTATCACAAAGGATGTAACTAGACCTAAGGGAAAAAAGAAAAAAAAGCAATAATCTATTATCTGATGTTTGATTTAATTATCAAAATTCTTATCAGAAAACCTTTTCTGCCTTCTTTCCAGTCTCAAAAGGAGGAGCTAATTCCACCTTACATTGCAAACGCTTATAGCAGCCATAAAGCTCATTAAATATGGTAAATTTAAGCTAGTGTAGATATCTTCCTATCTTCTCCAATCCTTACACAACAAGAACAATTCATGAACCACCATGTGAAGAATAACACTTGGACCACTGAGATTAGGATACATACTTCTTATTTGGAACCAAGTCCAAGGAATTGAAAGAAAGGAAAAGAAAAGTGAAACAGTCAATTCATGTAAACACACACACACACACACACACACACACGTATTATACTGTCTTGAGTTCAGCACAATTTTGAGTACATTAACTCCTATCTAGGTGTGTGTTCAAGAAACCGGAAGAGAATCTTTCGCATTCTATCAGATTCTTTCTAGAGCCACAAACAGCGTGGAACTCCACCTCTGACTCCAAGTGACCAATAAATCATTGTCACCACTGCAAACAGAGACAAGGAATGGATTGAAATACATTAAGCTTCATAAATTATATTTTATTCATAACAAAATGAAGCTCAAATTTTGACACGCCATGAGAAAAAGCCAACACAAGATTGAGCTTCAAGCCCATCAACGTGGAGAGAGGACGACCCACTTTCTCTTTGGTTAGAAGAAAGAAAAGCACCATTGATAGACAGTGAAGACTTTATAGGATGATTGAAGTTGGATCATGATGATTAGGACCCCGCAACACTCAACAAACAGGTTCATCTCATGTGCCTATCCCTCTTCTTTTCAGTTTTCCATGAAGATGTTCATAGCTCTAGCTCAAGTACCTCACCTAAACAGAGTGGCTTGAGTTCACCTACTGAGGATAACAATAATGATTGTGATGTGGATGGTGATGACGATCGAGGTTGTAGTCGTGGTGGTAATGTTCCACCTGGTAATGCTAGTGGAGCTAGTGAGAGTGAACATGGAGGATATTATGAACTAGGTATACATTAGATGATAATGAGGTCGGATTGAGATCTCTGGATATTGGTAGTATCAGCGGAGGTAAGACCAAGTCAAGGAGACACAGAACACAACAATGTCAAAATCATATGAAGATTCCTCAAATAATGTGTGCAAAACTTAAGGGACTTTGGATTAGATGATCAGTCATATGATAGATGGTTATTGATAGGGAAAAATAAACCTAACCTATCTTGACCTAATGATAGAGGCAACTAAGTGTTGACCAGATGCCAAATCTCTTCTACTTTCGAAAGATAATATTTCGTTATCAAGGATAACGATTTCCATTGGATAAATTCCATGGAATAATTACAAATCTTATCAAGGATAAGATTTCCATGGGATAAGGATTATGATATTCCCTTATCAAGAATAAGGGAAGTGACGATAAATAGGAAGACAACTCGGGAATAAGGTACGACGAAAAAACTATTATTAAATTCCTGCCTTCTTTTTAGACCTCCGGTGACTAACTTGATCGTCGGAGAGCTCTTGGCAGGCACCACACCAGTGCTGTCAAGGTTCACCGATCTTCTCCTCTCTTCCTTGCAGGAAAACGGTGTCGTATCGGACCGCATGAATTTCACCTTCAACAGTTATAGACATGAAGCATATGGTCACTCTCCAAGTTTGATATTACCCTGATTATATGGGACAAGGCATCCTTACTATCTTTCTTTATCTAAATCCACCAAAATCCTGCAAAGACATCTTAAATGGGATCTAATTTCTTGGTACAAGTATAAATTATCATAATAGGCAGTTATAAGTTCTTCTATCCATCATGCATGAAGACCTAATAATCCTTAACAGTCATGATCTTTCCTTTTAGTATTCATTCTGGTTTTCTAAAGCATACCATTTATTTTGTTTTCATGGAGATTGGAGTGAAACTAACTAATCAATGAATCCCACTTCAGGAATTCTCAACATATTTGTAAAAGAGATGTGCTAGACTCATTTGGAAGTAAGTTTATTAAGGGTGTGTGTGTGTGTGTGTTTGGGGGGGGGGGGGGGGGGGGGGGGGGGCGGGGGGGTGTGGTGGGGGGGTGGTTTATGATAAATCAAATCAAGAGAACATAGTAAATCTCACAGCCCTATAATACATATACCAGTAGTGAAAATAGTAAGGCTTCTAACTTGGTTCTGAACCACTTGAGAAGCAGTCCTATACCGTTCACGTATCAATCTTCCTGGTTCACCTGTTCAAACAAAAGTTTGTATAAATAAAATTTTACAAACAATTAAATATATGAATTAAATGTTGTCTTAATTTTAGAAATAGCAGCTTGGTATATCTTACTTGGGAAGTAATGCTTTATAGGAGATTGCAAAGAGAAACATGCATAAATATAACACCATATAGTACTCAAGATAGTATCTTCGGAAAAGCAGTATTCCAATTTACAAACAAGTCAAGATTTTTATGAAAGATCAACGGATGGTAATTCATTCATGGAAAGTCTCTTTGTTCCAGCATTAAAAATATTATTTGTCAACCTTTAAGTTCATTGAAGGCCATTACCTAGTGCGGGTCCTGCCTAAGCAGGTTAAGGAGGGTTTACCATAATTCCATAGGCCGAACTAGCCATTTAGGTCCATTGGCAATAAAAGTTCTTTGTACATTTGAAGCGAGGTCCTTGGAAATTCACTATATAACTGAAAGATTTAAAGATTTTCCAATTGGCATATGATGTTTGTCAGTTTACAGGAGTCAATATGAGGTTACTATATTATAATAAGGATCATGTCAAGTTTTCTTGTTTTGATGATCGCTACAAAATTGTAAATTGTTCTAGGCTGTAAGAATCCTTTTTGTTGGGGACTTCTCCTGCTGTTTATTTATCCTTCATGAAATTCGTCATTTATTAAGGAAAAAAAATGTCTATTTTCTTAATTTGAAAATTTGAAATTGATTACTAAAAATTGCTAATATCTATAATAAAATAAAATAAAATATTTAATAATTGTCACCTCAATCCCCAAACATGTGACAATCAGTAAAATAGATTAGGATTCTACCAAATAATTCCTGCAAGCAGAACTCATTTGAATAGCTAAAATCGTTAATTACCATTCACGAAAGGGAAAAAAAAGAAGAAGTCAATTTGCACAAGCAAAGGGCATTTGCTACTTGCTAGGAACTTACCAGCTCTTTCTGATTCCAATTCCCCAGCAGACATAATAACAGGTTCAATTCCCATGGCCTGGAAAATAAGTTCAGTTTGAAATGACTTTCCTTGCCCTTTTCCTCCCCAAATGCCTGTTAGACAATATGCCACTGTGATTGCTTTGTTTTCAGGAATTTTGTTCAAAATATATGGAACCACACAAAGGTGTGTGTATATATATATATATAAATTAAAACATATCCCACTCATAGAAGAATGTACATCCATATCGTATCTAAAATAGCACTACTATTATCATATGTATGAGATAAAAAGAACCAGAATATTTACAGATTTAATAATTATAAAAGTATTGAAGTCCATGACAGATAAGTAGAAAATAAAACGAGACTTTTTCACTGCACAGGTATGAAAATGGTTCATCAGAAGAGCATGCTCTAGCTCACACAATATGAAAACGAAAGAACACCAAACAACTGGGAAGTATTAACCTATTTGAGATAAACATACACGTATTCACATGCGAACACATATACATACACATCTGTAACCATCATTACTTGTACAACTCTTATAGTGATCTCTGTTAAAACATTGAGAGTATTTACCTAGAATCAGAGGAACTTTGGTATTGAGAAGATGAGCAATGTAGTTCTTCACAATATGGCATACTGCATCAATAGTAAACCATGTGGGGAAAAAAAATGTCAGAGCAACTATGCAGCTTTGTTATTGAGATGATTAAAAGGACCTTGCTTGTCTAGGACTTTGTCATATGATATGCAACTTGAACACTATGAACAACCTTACAATGCTGCATTTAGAAGTATAAAAGACATAATCACAACTACATTTGATGACGTAGCAGTGGGGATTGGATACAAATAAGAACCATGCTATGGTTCATGTAGTGAGATTATTTGACTGCTCCACCTTCATATGGATTCAAATTACATTCATATTTGTATATCCTACAATTTAAAATCGCAAGAGTGTGCACAAAAAAATATACATCAACATAGACTTGCACACACATAAATACAGATCACCAGAGTGAAACATATCATAGTTTCACTTAATGTTGATTTCAGGCACCACTTCGCCTTTATTGACTACAAAGATTACCTCCACTAATATATATTGATGCTTGTTGAAATATCAAAACAGTTTTCTGGGAGTGTTGACTTATCATAATTGCAAATAATTATGCTTGAGGGCTGAAGATATTTTGTCATGCAATACAATAATAAAAATTTATATGCCAGCTATGCTATTCCACAATTCAGATCAATGCCAAAGTGAATCAGTTTCAGCACCAGCATCCAGGAAATATACCATGGATGAACTAGGGCTAAAGCTGAAGACAAAATTACCATAAGGGGCCCTCGCAAATAAAACATGCTTCCAATACCCAAATGAAAGAACAAATGGAGATTCTTCCATGTAGAAGCTCAATGGTAAATTTTGGACTCTAAACCAAAACAGAGTTCTAGAAAGAACATATTCTTGGCTCTTCATTGCTTAAAGATATCTGTGAGTAAATAAAAGCTGCCTTGATCACTATTATCATGATTATATCAATATCAATTTATGCCCTTTACAAAATGAAGGGGGGAAAAGTGGGCAAATTTCACCAATCTTCACCACAAAGGTCTTAACCTAGTGGAATCACCTCACCTTCTGAAGTGAAAGGTTGGGGGTTCAGGTCCCCCCATAGGATCATAGTTGGGTCTATAAGTAATTTGCAGGATATGTATAAAAGTAGCTTTCCTTGAGGTTTGCCATAATTACATGAGGATAGAACTTAAGCATTTATTACACTCGTATCCCCAACCAGAGTTTGGCAGATAAGCAGTGTTAAACAGGCTCATATAAAATAACATTTATATCCTTATCTTATTTCATTATTTCTTATTATGAATTTTTTTAACAAAAGTCAACAAAGTTTAGTGACCAATTTGTCTCCCTACCTAATATTTTCTCTACCATACCCTTCTCTTTCTCCCTCTAAAATTTCTCTTCCTTTGTCTCTCTAAAATTCTTTTTTTCTCCACCACCACCCATGAATTGGCCATCTCCTTCCACCACCATCTTCATCACCCAATTCATTCCTCTCCAAAATTAATTTTCATTTTTGTACCCCTGCAATTAAAGGACCAGTGTTCTCAAGTTTCTTCCCGTATGGAAAATTAAACCATTAACACTATTATGGTTCCCATTGGACCATTCTAAAGTTAATGAACTACACAATCCATTTTACTTTCTGTAAATATTTTTCCATTTCTTTAAAAATTTCTGCATACAATTTGATTCCAGAGAATTTGATTAATCAATGCTGTTAATTGCAAAGAACATAAGAGCAGCCACAACAGTTGGATGATGTTACTCAGCAACCTAAGTAAAATTTGATTATTCAAACCAGAATACACTTCCTGTTCAAAACCAGCAGCTTCTCCTCCACCATCGATGCTCCTGCGCCATGGATGGAATGGCTGTGGTGACAAGGGGACAAACCGCAGGAAAGACGTCTTTCTCAGTATTTCCCATTGAGTCATCCCTCGTCTGTTTAGCTGCCTTTTATGAGGCCCAGGAGTTGGAAGTAGTTATTCATCAATCTTCCTAGTGACATTGAAAAGTAAAGGCATGGCGAATGAGAAAGACGGGAAGCAACAGGCTTATTGGAGGCAAGTAGACCAACCAAACATAACTGTCCGTGGACAATCCATCGATCCAAATCATCATCAGCATCAATCTCGACCATTGTTACATCGCCTTCTTTTGAGCAATTGTTGGTTGGTTTCAAGTGGAAGTGCTTATGGTGGTGAGACACAGTTGAGCAATGGCGAGGGTGGTGATCAGAATCTGTTGAAGATGTTGAATAGATAAGAGGGAAAGAGAGACAGAGTAGACTCTTTGTTTTATGGAGATTTTGTTGGTGAGATTTTGGGAGCCAATAAAAGAAGTTGTAGGAAATACTGAAAATATGAGGATAATAAGAGGATGATAGTTATTATATCTTAATTCTCCACATTAATTTATAAAACTTGTAAATTTTTAATTATATATAATAAAATTGCAACATAACTTGCAAAATAAGGGTTCTAACACAATATGAACTTACAAATTCTATAAATTGATTTTGAAAATAACACAATGTTTACTGGCAAATTCTGTAAATTAATTTTGACATTTTTAACTAAATTAGTTTCGTAATTTTTTTAATTATACATTAAATAGTATATATAACAAGATAGTAATAAACTTGGTGATTACAAATTTTACTTTAAATTAAAGTGAAATTAGTTGCAAACATAGTTTAAATGCAATTCAACCTAAATGTAATATACATGTCTATTAAATATGTTAGGGGTATATTTATCCTTTGAAGAATATTATTAAGGGCAGAGTTGTCATTTCACATGTTTAGCAAACGCTTTGTTTAGTACAGAAGATGAAAAAGTGGGTCAAAAGGAAGGCAGGAAGAATGGATAAGGCATCCCTAGGAAGGAATGCGTATCATTCCCTTTCTGTTTGGTTGAGTGGAAGGGAGAACACAGAGGTGACACATTTTATTGTTTGGTCAGAGAGAAGGGAAGGATAATTTTATATATTTTTACCATTATACGCTCATTATATAATTTGACAAAAATTGATGAAGGGTAATAATGCCACTTTGCATAATTTACAACAATTATCCTTCTCTTCCCTCCTTTCTTCCATCCAAATTTGGAGGGATGAAAAATAATGGGCCAGGACTCGGGAGAGATGCCTCATCCACCTATCCTTCCCTTCCCTCCAACTCTCCTTCATACCATATAATGGAGACTTGTTCCATCCCTCCTCCCTTTCATCCTTTCCCCTTACTTCCCTCCTACCGAATGCAGTGTAAGACGTCAATCTTTTAGACGAAAAGGACACATCCAACATTCAGAAAAATTTCCTGTAATGGCCCTAATGGCCGACTAAAAGTAGAAGAGTGTTTTTGAAAGCAGTCTTCAACACAACAGTGATCATAACATTTTGCTAACATGGTATCATTGACCAATTAAATGTCACAGTATAAGCACATGGAACCCACTCAACACAAGTATTTGATTACCTAACAGTTAAGTTAACATGTATGCATGTATTAGATGGGTCTTATAGCATATGTGAAGATGTAATTAGTCGGTCATACCATGTCAGGATAATCTCATGGCATCATCATTGCATTGAAATTTTTTCCCAAACAACGAGGAATAGACTGCGAGAAATTGAAAATTTCTTTATGTAATTAGGACAAATATTAGGATTATTTATATATAATTTTATAGATGAATCTCAAATTAAATTATATGTGACATGTACAATTCTTTATGTAATTACAACAAATGTTAGGGTTTATATATAAACTGATAGATGACTCTCAAATTAATATGCGACATATACAATGGCACAAGGAAAAATGAGATTAGCAAAAATAAATATATAGACTATGATTATGATTGCCCTGTCCAAGAATTTGGAAGGGAAAAAGAGATTGGAGCATACACACTAATCACCTTGGTTATCATTCGCAGACCAGGTTAGTGTAGAAGCTAGGTTACAGAAAACAGGGTTAAATAAATGACATCAGACGACTTTACACTCGGACTAAGAGATACAGAGGCAGGATGGAAAAAGGTAGTAAAGGTGGAGAGGGAAAGAGAGAGACAGAAGATATCTAAAAAAGGAAAGGAGTTGCCAAAATTGTTTGTCTTGACTTTAGACTGTACAGCTATTTATATAGGTCCTGGCAAAGAGGACTCCTTATGGAGAAATCAGGTTGCACCATGTGTCCCTTTTTCTTTACCTTCTAGGTTGAGACGTGGATGTCTCTTCCTTAAGGGCCGCAAATAATTTTGCCTGACCTATGTCATCCCACCCCAGCAAGCCCCTCCCCCAATCCTCCATGCCTCGACAGACCCTCCTTCCCACTTGGGACAATGATATTTCACAAACAGTTTCACACCATGGCTGCCTAGGCTTATGATATTGCAACACTATGCTCACAGCCCAAATTATTTGTATCTTGACTTACAAGAATTTCCCAAAGGGCATTAAAAGGGTGCCACGTCTCACCCTGTGCCTGATTAACTTGAGAGAAATTAGTGTATCCCTCCAGCGTGGATTTGTACCTTGGCAGTGACCTTACTAGACAGTCATGGTAACGCCAAGGTGGGTGCTCGTCGCACTTGAGCACTTATATCTAGTGTGCTCCCGTGGTCCTCAGGGTGTGCTGAGAGCTTCTCACCTCGTCCACCCCTCCCCTCCCTCCTTCTTGGAGCTGCAGGAATGGGCTTTCAGGCAAGAACTCCCAAGACACACCCGCATGTGGATTTGTATTGAATCTCTTACTGGAGAGGGTGCCCCTGCAGCCCTCCCTATACCCATTGTTCTAGTGCTTCGGGGTGGAGTATGCTGTATGCTTTGTGAGAGAGAGATCTCGCAAGTGTTGGGTGTCCTCACAAACAACGCTGCTAGGTACCTCACAGGTAGGCCCTTGTGGCTTTCTGGCTTCGAGTCCATTTGCTGATGGCTGTGAATTTGTGCACTTTTTACAGTTAGCAATTACATGTTGAGAGAGGTTACAATGAAGATGAGGGTAAAAGATTACAAAGGGCAACTAAGAATTGGGAGCTGGGGTATATTGCATGGTGCACTAGTAAAATGCTCGAATTCTCAAGTTTAAGATCACAAGTTCAAATCCTTAGAGCAGCCACATTGTAATGCCAAATGCTATGTCTGTATCCGGTCCATCCTCCCAACACCCTCAAGTAGGGACCACACTATGTAATGATCCTAATGACCTAAGAATTGGATGCTATGGATTGACATCATTTACAAAATACACGTTGACAAATAAATTTTCCATGAAAGCAAATACAGAAAGATGGATTATCTCAAAACGTTAACTAGCAGATTTAGTTGCAAGTCTATCAAGGAGAAAAATGCATAGCAAGTGGCAATTGATATGACTTTTTCCACATTAACAAACATAAAGATACACGTCACATAGATCAATGACTACTTCGGTCCTTTTAACCAAATTTCTTGCCGCTTCAAAATGATTCATCACAGTTTCTTTCTCATTGAATAGACACCGAACTTACCAACTTTATCCTGTCAAATGAAAATTAAACACAGAAGAGGTACACTGCGTGTCAAGATAGCCAATAATAGGTTAACAAGATTGGAAATCAAAACAATGATATATATTTATGCACTAGAAAGTAAACAACATAACATAATCAAGTAACATACCATGAAAGCAGGAGCGATGTAATAATCCCCCTGAAGGTACTCAAATGACCTGGTTACCTTCTGACGATAATCAAACACAATATCCGCTGCAATGCAAATAAAATAAATTCAAACCCGAAAAGGAAGCACAACAAAATTGAAACCAGAAACCATTTTTGGTATCTCTATTATACAAAAGATAAAAAGAGTCACCTCAATTAGGCCATACAATGACAATACATTAAGGTGCTATTTGATAAAACTGGGAAAAAATAGAACACAAAATAGTAAAATTTGAATTTTAAGCGCAATTTTAAATTGAGAATTTTTTTAATACTTGTCTAAGTTTTAAGGTAATGTGTCTAGTGTTAATGATAAGTGAAGTCTCCCTTATTTAAAATTTTATACCATTTTAAGTGGACTTTATTCTTAAGTGGTATTTAAATTACGTTATCAAATTTAACGCCATTAAGTTATTGATAATTAACAGTTGTTTCCTTTTCCTTCATTTTCTTGGCAACCAATGGAACACAGGAGTTGAAGAAAATCACTCACAGTCTTGCCCAAGAAATTTTCCAGCGAAAAGGTCGTCGATGACGCCAGCCCTAGCACCAACGGCGATGTTCATGTTATCCGCCTCTTTGCCGAGCCTGTAGAGATAATCGTTACCCTCTGCGTCCTTCGTTTCCCACGATGACTGCTCCGAGAGTCTCTTCTTCTTGGATTTCTCCTCTGATTCTTCACTGCTGTTTTCGTTTCCACTAGAATTCGTCAATGAACGGACAAAGAAAGGGGAAGAATTGAAGATTTTCTTGAGGGGAAGGAGAGATAATCTGCTGAACTTGGGAAATTTAGAGATAGAAGAAGAAGATCGGAAGGAGAGAGAAATGGAAATGAGGTCTGCGCCTTTGAAGCTGCAAGATAGAGCCATGGATTAGGTTATGAGACTGTTCTGTTCTGTGCCTCCGAGAGTCTCTTCTTCTTAGCTCCCTGCGGTTCATATCCTTAGTTACGTTATCGTACGAACAAAAAATAATTAAATAAATAAATATAAATTCAAAATTAAGGGTTGTTTGGCGCCATATATATATATGTGTGTGTGTGTGTGTGTGTGTTGACAATCCCCTTGTTAACTTAAATCATATAACTGTGTATTTGCAAACATGTGTCTAAGCATATGTATTTTCCTTCACTCTCCCTTTTAGTATGCTTAGCTTAGAATAAAAAAATTATTTAAATTGATTCGTCATTTATTTATTTTTAATAATCAATAATGGTGTTAGATCTCTTAAAATATTTTAAAGAAATGATTAATTTGTTTCGAAATCATGACGTTCAAGTTACAGTAGAACAATCTTATCATTGCGTCGAGATTTAATAGCACACCCAAAAAGACCAGATAAAACAGGATAATGGAGAGCACAATGACACGATTCCGCTGACCGGAGCATCTTCATGATTTTATGACTAATAAACTAAAATTAATAGACTGTGACACTATTCATGTTCAGTTCCTTTTGTTGACATAAATGGTCTTAATAGAGCTAGACAAAAGAGGCCTTAGAGCCCCAAATAGATAACACTGGTTTCCAACATCCCTATCCCATGCACATTTCTTGACACTGCCAATCATAGTCGGCAATCAGCATGAATTATACTCCAAGTTGCTCCACATGCATAGCAAAACTGAAATCCACACCTGACACCATAAACAGCCATACATGCACTTAGATACATATACCTTCTTCAAAACATATATTTTGACAATGTAAGATACCTATTGTATGAATTTCTCAAATAGAAGACACGAAAAGCTAGGTTCAGGTTGCATTGATTCTACACAATTATGGCCAGAAACTGCCCAATTAAAGCCTTACCCGTTTATAAGTATGCTTTGAAGTATTTACAATTAGGCTAAAACCTACCTACATAAATAGGGATCAATATATATAAAAACTATAGATACAATATGAAACATTCAACCCAAACAAATCCAACCATTTGTAGCAAAAAATAAAAAATAACATCCAACCCCTTAAACATGAGGCAAGACTTCAACTCATATCTTAATTTGAACTTCAGTTTTACTTGGGTTAAAATCAGACTAGAATTTGGATTGTTCTGATTCAATTTGGCTAATTACAAAAACTTCTCACAGCAAACTACTACAAAATCCAAACAAAAATTTCATTCATGAAATAGAACCAATAAAATGAACAAAACATATGTGCACAATGTTTTGTGTTATAGTGTACTAATATACAAACACAGAGGGACAAATAGTTAGATTTGAAAGAACTTAATGTGTTATAGTATACAAATACACGCACACATGAAGTCTAGTTGGATTGGGCATCAACTGGAATTGTCAATTTGGGTTGACTTCCGATTATCCAACTCCAGAATCCGGCTCTACCTAAATTAAATTCAACATTTTTCGATCCGAGTTTCAAAAACTCATTCTCAAACATGCCAAAAATCAAGTCAGGTTAGGATTGGCCGGCCCAAACTGCACTCTTACATAAATTAAAGCTATGAACATTGTGAAACAAATACCCACACAGTAACAATAACAACAATAATATGGAATTGAAAGTTGTTACAAGAATGGACAACAACATACCGGCAAGTCATATGTAAACAGCCGTGTGTTTTTTCAACATTATACTTGCAGTGTGGGCATCTCATCCAGTTCTTCTCCCTAGCAAGCTCTCTCACCATCAGCTCCTCTTTCCCTCTCTCATCTTCATTCAATCTCCGATACTCCTCACACTCGATCCCCGGATGCCACGGGACATAACACTCTGCGCAGAACAGTCTCCACTCTCCGGTAAACAGGACACTCGACTCCCTGATGATGACTTCTCCAACACTCTCATTAACCAACATGTCAGAGCAGTCCTTAAAAGGACAATAAAATCTTTCTGATGCAGAAATCATCGACTCACACAGCATTTCATCCCACCTTTCAAGCACTTCTCTTCGAATTATCGGCCTACAAGCATCGAGCTCTAGCACTCCTTCGCAGTCCAAACCCGGGCACATAACATCTCTGATGTTCTCTTGGATCTTGGTGGCAACATGTTTGCTTATGCAGTCACAACAGAAAGAGTGGTGACAAGTTCGGTTCCTAAACATGTCACCAGTTTCTTTCTTTTCCACGCAAATTTAATTCGCAGAAGCTGCGTGATGATTCACCTACTTGTTTTGCAATATTATCCATTGGTACTACTAATTCCGGGTTAGAATTAGCTGGACTTTGTTTTCTTCTTTTTTTCGGTGGACTTTCTTGGGTTGTCGATAGCACAACGGTAATAGTATTATTATTGGACATTTGGGGAAGATATCAAAGAGGCCATTAGAGTGTATTAGTATTATTATTGGACATTTGGGGAAGTGATCAAAGAGGCCATTTGAGTCTCTTGGAACTGTAGCTCTTCAGCATTTTTCGCTTCTGACATTTGGAAAATCTGATTTTCTTCATTTTCATCAAACAGAGCTCAGATGTAAAAGTCATCCACAAGTTCAACATCGGACATTTCCACGAGACGCTAACAAAATCAAGAATAATACGCCCACACAAACAAAACAAACGTTTACCTTGTTTCATGTAGACCAAAAACAAAGAACAACTTTAGTTATAAGGGTGAATTCCCCTCTAAGTCTATTAGGAGAAACTAAAAATATTGGGAAACTAATTACTAAAAAATATTAAATACCAAATATATAAGGATTTCAAATTTTCAAATATTCAAAAAAAAATTAATTCAAAATTGAGAAAATGCGATTTTTCGATCCTTAAATAATTCTTAGATGAAAATTGATAGTCTAAAGTGAATGTAAAAGAAAGTGAAGTAAATGAAAAGAAAATAAATCTTATATCATGTATTTGTTTAGCAAGAAAAAATTTCATGAATAATATGAGAAATTACCATTTTATGATTTTAATAGAAATAAAATTATTTTAAGTTCATAAAACTTTCGCAATTGGTGTAAAAATTGAGTGGTTATAGAAAGTAATTTATCCTCAAAAATTTTGTTTGATTAGACCGAAATAACAAGAAAAGAAATGAAATTTTTTTGAACATTTTTTAAGTTTTCCCTCCAAGAAAACACTAGAAATTTTGACTTCTTAAGAAACTTTTATGAACTTACAGTAATGCCTTTTTTCATATGGCAAGTTTCATGCTATTCAAACCACAAAATGATAATTTTTCATTGACTTTTTTTGGCAAAATTTTGAAGACAACCTAAACACAATGAAAAAATTATTTTCCTTTTTTTCATTTCATTTTTTTTTTTTTTTTTTTTTTTTAACTTTCACTTTCTACTATTATTTTTCATCGAGCCAAAAGCAGCAAAATTGTTCAAAAAAATTTCATTTCCTTTCTTTTCTTATTATTTCTATGGCGCCAAACCTAAACCCAAAATCAATAGCCACGCTGTTGAGTATTGCAAGTTAAGCCGTTTCCAATCAGACTAAAATCTTGTCGAGAAAAAAGGAATTCCTTGAAACTATCCAAAAAATTGTGTCAAGCCACTCATTCAGCCTTTGACAATTCAAAAGGGTTATGAAGACTTCAACAATCAATTCAACAGGCATATGCAGCTTTCAATGTTATTTCTTGTGGCACTCTGAACCCAACTTAAATACTCTTATATACGGTGTTATTAGAGATTTCTAAATTCGAGTCCACAACATACAAGAGAAAACAGAAAACGGGTGAATCCCACCCACCATCACACTTCTCGATACAAATTTTGCAGTTTGTATATCATCATATAAGAATGAAGGGACTTTTGATTTTACACTTCACAAGACTTAGCTTCGAAGGACTCTTCTTCATTGGAAGTCCTAAAGAGTCCTGTAGTCTTCAGCTTTTGACTTCACTTCTGTACGGATCAATACCTTTCAATTGTGAATTCAATATTTCCGTCACAGTAAGATCAATGGCTAAAAGAGGCCTAAGACCCCAGGTAGATGGCATTGATTAAACATCATCCCTCTGTCTCACATTTCTTGAGTCTGCTAATCATGGTGCCTGACAACCACCATGAATTTGACTCCAAGTTGCTCCACATGCATAGCAAAACTGAAATGCACACCTGCAACAAAAAACAGCCATGCACTTAAATATATACCTTGTTCAAAACTTTAATTGGACAGTATAAGTGGGATAATGATTTTCAAATTAGATTTGACAAAATCGAATGAATTGGATAAGGCCAAAACTAGATCTCAATAACATTGTCCATCTAAGTATCTATCATATGAATTTCTCAACTAGAAGATACAACAAGCTGGATTCGATTGCTGCCCAACTAAAGCCTTCCCCATTTATAAGTATGCTTGAAGTATTTATAATTTGGCTAGAAAAGATGGATACAATATGAAACCTACAACCCAAACACAATCCAAACCCGACTTCAAATTGAATTATATAATCTGAGCTTAACTAGAACCGAAATTAAACATGAGCCAAGTCTTCAACTCCTATCCTAAATTGAACTTAGGTTTTACTCAGCTTAAAATCAGGCTGGAATTTGGATTTAATCTGAGCTCAAGTAGGTTCGGGTTCAGTTTGTTTATTTACCAAATCTCCAACAAAATTTATATATATATATATATCATTCATAAAATATAAACAATAAAATGACAAAAACATATGTGCACAATGTAATGTGTTATCTAGTGTACTCGAGTTGTCAATTTGGGTTGAGTTCAAATTATCCAACACCTCAACCCGGCTCTACCTAAATTAATATAAGTTAATGAATTTTCAATCTGGGACCAAAAACTCTTTTCTAACATGTCAAAATTGAGTTGGATTAGGATATAACAACAATAATATTGAATTCTGAACTTTTAAAAGAATGGTAAATAGTTATACCTGCAAGTCATGTGTAAACAACCCTCTGTTTTTTCAACATAATATTTGCAGTGTGGACATTTCATCCAGTTCTTCATACAATCATTGAGCTCTAGCACTTCTTCCCAATTATCTGCATACAATCATTGAGCTCTAGCACTCCTTTGCAGTCCAAACCCGGACACATAACAACTCTGTTATTCTCTTGAATCTTTGCAGCAATATGTTTGCTTATACAGTTAGAACAGAAGGAGTGGTGACAAGTTTGGTTCCTAAACATGTCATCAGTTTCTTTCCGTTCCACACAAATTTCGCAGAAGCTGTGCGATGATTCGCCAACCTCTTCTGCAATCTCCATTGGGAAAATCTGACTCTCTTCGTTTTCATCAAAGAGAGTTAAGACGTAGAAGTCATCCTCATGATCAAGTTCAACATTAGTTGACTCTTCTGCCATATTGTGGTGACGATCATCAAAGAGAATTGAGATGTAGAAATCTTCCTCAAGTTCAGCATTAGAGGTTGATTCTTTTGCCATACTGGGGTGACGATCATCAAAGAGAGTTGAGATGTAGAAGTCATCCTCAAGTTCAACATTAGTTGATTCTTTTTCCATATTGCGGAGATAATCATCAAAGAGAATTGAGATGTAGAAATCAACCTCAGGTTCAACATTAGAGTTTACCATATTGTGGTGACGATCATCAAAGAGAGTTGAGATGTAGAAGTCATCCTCAAGTTCAACATTAGAGGTTGATTCTATTGCCATATTGTGGTGACGATCATCAAAGAGAGTTGAGATGTAGAAGTCATCCTCAAGTTCAACATTAGAGCTTGATTCTTTTGCCATATTGTGGCGACGATCATCAAAGAGAGTTGAGATGTAGAAGTCATCCTGAAGTTCAACATTAGTTGATTCTTTGGCCATATTGTGTTGACAATCATACAAGAGAATTGAGATGTAGAAATCATCCTCAAGTCAACATTAGAGTTTGCCATATTGTGGTGACGATCATCAAAGAGAGTTGAGATGTAGAAGTCATCCTCAAGTTCAACATTAGAGGTTGATTCTATTGCCATATTGTGGCGACGATCATCAAAGAGAGTTGAAATGTAGAAGTCATCCTCAAGTTCAACATTAGAGGTTGATTCTTTTGCAATATTGCGGTGACGATCATCAAAGAGAGTTGATATGTAGAAGTCATCCTCAAGTTCAACATTAGTTGATTCTTTTGCCATATTGTGGTGACAATCATCAAAGAGAATTGAGATGTAGAAATCATCCTCAAGTCCAACACTAGAGTTTGCCATATTGCGGTGACGATCATCAAAGAGAGTTGAGATATAGAAGTCATACTCAAGTTCAACATTAGAGGTTGATTCTATTGCCATATTGTGGTGACGATCATCAAAGAGAGTTGAGATGTAGAAGTCATCTTCAAGTTCAACAACATTAGAGCTTGATTCTTTTGCCATAATGTGGTGACGATCATCAAAGAGAGTTGAGATGTAGAAGTCATCATCAAGTTCAACATTAGAGGTTTGATTCTATTGCCATAATGTGGTGACGATCATCAAAAGGAGTTGAGATGTAGAAGTCATCATCAAGTCCAACATTAGAGTTTAATTCTTTTGCCATATTGTGGTGACGATCATCAAAGAGATTTGAGATGTAGAATTCATCCTCAAGTTCAACATTAGTTGATTCTTTTTCCATATTGTGGTGACGATCATCAAAGAGAGTTGAGATGTAGAAGTCATCCTCAAGTTCAACATTAGAGGTTGATTCTTTTGCCATATTGTGGTGACGATCATAAAAAAGAGTTGAGATGTAGAAGTCATCCTCAAGTTCAACTTTAGAGGTTGATTCTTTTGCTATATTATGACAGAAGAACATGTCAAAAAAAATTAGGGAAGAAATTCACATAAAATCCATTTTTCGAGTTGTTGCGACGGAGACAAAATAAAATTCCGACTACAAATGAAGGGATTTGTGATTTTACACTTTGCAATACTTAACTTGGAAGGTCTCTCCCTTCATTGGAAGTCCTAAAGAGTCTTGTAGTCTTCATCAGCTTTTTGACTTCACTTTTTTACCGGTCAATATACCTTTCAATTCTAAATACAATTGTCCCGAATCCCGATCACCATTTCACCAAAAGATCTAGAAACCTAGTAGTAGTAATTAAGCAATATTATTAAGTAGATGCCAAGATTTCATTTCAGGGTTAAAGATAAAAAATAAAAATAAAAAAAATAAATCAACTAAAAAAATTTATGGTAGTGTAAGTAGAATATATCACCACAATCAACTTTGCGCATGTTAGTTTGATTATGATCACAGAAATCAGTCTAGATAGTATCATATAATTTGTTTCTTTTTTAAAAAAATCATAGCAAATTTGTAAAAATCACTCTTACTTACATGAAAATGAAGTTTGTTAATATATTTTACCTATATATAATTAATCTTGGAAGACTATATTGAAGTATATATGGTCAAAAAAATATATGTTAAAAAAAATAGGATTTGATTGAAAAAGGGAAAGCAAATTTATTTGAAGAGAATAAAAATATATATATATGAAAAAGAAGAAGAGTAAGAAGAAAAGAAAGAATGAATTGAATAAATTTTTAGAAAAAAAATAATTTTAGGGAAACATTAACTCCATCCAAGGTTGTTAGAATCGGGATTCTAACAAAAAGAGGGATTAGCATTATTTGACCCAATGAGAATCGTTTTGGGCTTCGTAGAATCGGAATTGTAGAATCGTGAATCGTAAGATTCTGCCAACTTGTAAAAAAAAACAATTCAAACTAACTTCTTCAGCAATAATGTGAGTAAAATATAGCAAGAATAAGGCCAAAACACAAAATAAATTGTATAAAAGTGTTCTTCCAAAGTCAAAATATAATATAGAACAGATTTCAGAATCAAAAAATAATTCCAAACAAAATAAGATAGAATGTAATAGAAACAAAGACAGGGTACGGGTTACCTACTCTTAATGGTCAAAAAGCGCCCTTTCATTCTGAACTCTTTAATTCAGAATGAATCAAATCTCCCCAAGTAGGATTCGAACCTACGACCAGTCAGTTAACAGCTGACCGCTCTACTTCTGAGCTACTGAGGAACAATGGGAGATGGAATCAGTAGCCCAAGTCCACATAGCTACAGATGTTGGCCATGACTAAGGTGGGGCCACCAACAAAGCAAGCAAGCAGTTCATGAATGTTAGGAAAGACCTAGAGACCGAGCTAACAGAGCTCCTTGACGTAGGCAACATCTCGCATCTCAAGCATAAGAGTTGGAAGGCATGGCAAACCTTTCCCTTTATGAGGTCTAAGAGTGTAATACCCGTATTTTTTTTATTAGGAATATTTTTAAGGAATATTAGAGATAATAGGTTACCTTTTTAAAAAAAAATTGAAATTTTTTAAAAAAGGATCCTAAATTATCTCACCTACCAGTTATTATTACTCTTTATAAGTTTATCTTGCACTGTATATCATATTACGATATTTTATAAATCGAAAGAGAGATAAAGATAATAGGGTTATATAGAGTGAATGAGATCTGACGTCGCGTACCTGCCTGCAGTTTCTGGGAAGAGAGTCGGTGATCGGAGATTCGTATAGTAGAAGGGATTAGCTTTTCCAGGCAAGTTAATCTTGCTTTATATTTTTATATATAATTGTAACTTGATGTGGAATTATATTAAAATAGTTAAAAAAATTCTATGTTAGGCTAAATGTGTTAAATTAATCTAAGATAATTTTAAGATTAGATTTGCATGAACTGGTATAACGTGATCTGTTGTATTTAATTAATTAGTATATTTTAGTTACCTTAAAGTTCTAATGTGATACGTACTATGTTCCCTATTAAGACATGAAACCTAAATTGTTTCCACTGTTATAATAAATTGTTCATTAAAGTGAATAGGAAGGTACCCATTTTATTATACTCGGTTACAATGATGGGTACTGTGAAGGGATACATTTTAAGGAATCACTTTCTTTCACCTTTAGTTGTAGAATCAAGATTTGGATATAAATGGCCATAAACGCGTATACTTTAATTTTCACATTAACGGTTTGAGTAATTAAAATAGATTCTATAGAGTTGTTTTGAGAGTTGATATATATAATTATACATCTGTTAATTCTTATTAATTTAGAGTTATTGTTGTAATAGAATTGTTGAGTATCTTTTATTCACTGTTGTTATAAAAAAAAAGAAAAAAAAAAAGAATGACAATTAATTAGTTAAACATAATTATAAGTGATGGGTTATATCAGGGTATCATTAAACAATAGAGTTTGTATGTTAGTATGATGTTAATTTGTTAGATATGTTTGTTGGAAAAAGTGAGTAAGGTGTTCTGGATTGTGACCATTAAACCACATGATTAATCATTTTATATATATATACATAAATATAAATGAAATTGCATGACTAGATCAGTAGGTTATGTTTAAGGACGGCTATGGTTGATGATAATTTAAGCTACTCGACCAGGTGATAGTTAAGTGGGAAATTCCATATAAGCTTATTTGTGATTCTCATAATTGGTTAATTAAAGGCATAGTTTGATACATTAATTAATATTTTAAATTATTAATTATTAATTCATTTCATAATTCACCATAACTGTTATTTAATGGATGAGTTTGGATTAGTCTGAGGGGTAGTCAGGGACTGACCCTATGATGACTTTTGGTTATGGTCAGGGACCTGCCTATTTGGGAGTACACTACCCTTTCATTATGGTCATGGGTTTAATGAGCCCTTATTGTATGGACGTGATCAGGGATCATCTGGGGAGTAGACATACAATCCAGCCACACGTGTGTTTTCGGTAGTCAGGGATTATGCGATTCACACCACTTTATTGGATGGGAGCCCGGGGCTCATATGGGATATGTGGATTTATTAAAAGTAAATGATGATTATTTATGAAGTTTATAATTAACTTGGTTATGCATATTTAATTAATGCAATTGTTGAGTTACGTATATATATGAAAATATAAGGTAAGGTTAGCTTGCTGAACGATGATTGTGTTTAGCATTTCTTGCTAAGCTTGTGAGTTCACCCCATTATCACATTTCAAGTGCTCGTAGAGTAGGAACGTGATGGAGACACAGGATGGGGACGGATTTTAGCTCATTGCATATTTATGTATTTTTACTCGGTTTTCCTTTATTATGATCATTGTAATAAAGTTGGTGATTTGTGAGACCTTGTTTAGTTGACTGAGTGGTTATTGGATTTTTATCATGTTAAGAGGGAATTTCACCTCTATTCATTATTTGTATAAATTTGTCAGACTCTCATGTTAATAAATTTTATGATGAGATTCATTGTTTATGGTGGATGTATGTTGAGAATGGGTGGAAGTTATATTTCAAATTTTATTTGCAGAACAAGTAGTTCTTGGATTAAAATTTGGGGTGTGACAAAGAGGGTCCCAAACCTCAATTGATTTATCCACACTACTGGTCCACCGCACCAAAACTTTAACTAGAAAGATAAGTATTAAGATAATTAGAAGCTCCAACATGAACAGAATCCAATTTGGATGAGGTCAGTTACTTTAGAATTAGACTAAAGACACAAAAGTAAATAAGAAAGAGATGAAAACACATCATAGACCCTAAGACCCATGAAGACTCCACTGATCTCTATTTTTTTTTTCTGAAATTATCTCAGTGTTCGTTTACAATACACTGGAAGTAACATTCTAACATCCCAACCCCATAGTCAAGTTCAAGATAGAGTGCTCAATATGATTGCGGAGTTCTATCAAACACCTAGAGTGCTGCCCAAAAAAAAAAAAAAAAAAAAAAAGAGAAAAGTTTCGAAGTTCAAAACTTCAAACACAATAACACACCTTGTTTAGACTTCAGAAAGATGTGATGAGGAGGCAAGGAGCTGTTGAAGGTTTTTGCGAGGTCGAATGGTGGAGACTCTGGACTTTCGCAAAGAGAAGCTGTATGGCCAAACCCGATGTCTTCTTTTTTTTGCTTTCAAAGTCAAAAATCCCTTTCTTGTTGCATTTCCAGAGTCTCTTGTGCAGTTGTCATCAATTCAGAGTCGGGCATATGTTGGGTAAAACTTCCTAGTTAGCATCTCAACGAAGTTGATGGATGAAATCAGAATTTATTAAGTAAAGGAAAAGACACGGATCATCTCAATCTTTTATGTGTAAGAGTTTGGGCCGAAAGTGTGTTGGGCCTTTCTTATTTTGTAGCCCAACCCTCAAAAGAAGAACCAGCCCAAGACGAATAATCGGTGCGATTTACCGATTAGGAACGCATTTTTTGCCATTTTGGGGTCGTTTAATAAGAGGCGTGACTACAACTGAACTCGGGTAAAAATTGTTGGACTAATTTGGTACGGGAGAATGAAATAAGGTAGAAATGAAAATGGAATGGGAATGAAATGAGAATGGAATTTACCAAATTTTTACTAATTTGGTAAAAATTCTTGGACTAATTTGCTGATGGGCCCGTACCAACACCATCAGCAGTCAGCAACATGGTTGCATTCTCTCGGATCCAATATTTTTTTTTAGAATCCAATTCAAAACATGATCCCATTGTTGAGTTTTAGTATTTGCTTTACATCTCCCAAAATAAGAGAAGATACTAGGTGTGCCGTCATTGAGCTTATCTCAATGAGCTTCGAATAAAATAATGCCACCCAATATTCATTCCCGAAAAAGAGTTATAATTTTTTTATTTTTACCCGAGCAAACATACAACACGGGCTACAAAACAAAAGAGGCATTTGCATACAACCTTTGAAACACAAACAGAAACAGGAACAAGGATTGAATGAAGTAGGAGCCATTTTGCATGTGCCGACAATGCTACACAGCAAGAGCATCATCTCACGAAACTGTTTCTAGATCTAGTCCCGCACAAATATTGAGCATGCATCCCACCATTTGAATAGAGGATCATCCCGACAGACCTAAAAAGATGCCTAATGCCCCCGGGTAGATAGCATTGACCCTCTGTCTCACATTTCTTGAATCTGCTAATCATGCAGCCTGACAACCACCATGATTTTGAGTCCAATTTGCTCCACATGCATAGCAAAACTGAAATCCACATCTGAAACCATACACTTAGTTAGGTACGCACATTCTTCACAACTTTTATTCCGACAATACAAGTATCTTTTGTATGAATTTCTCAAACAGAAGAGACAACAAGTATACATAAATTCAACCTGTAAACATTGTAAAACAATAACAACAATAATATTGAATTGTGAGAACGGTAAATAGTTATACCTGCAAGTCATGTGTAAACAACCATCTGTTTTTTCAACATAATAATTGCAGTGTGGACATTTCATCCACTTCTTCTCCCTAGCAAGCTCTCTCACCATCAGATCTTCTCTCCCTCTTTCATCCTCATTCAATCTCTGATACTCCTCGCACTCTACCCCCGGATGCCACGGGATATAGCACTGCGCGCAGAACAGTCTCCGGCACACCGGACACTCCGACTCCCTGATCGCCTCTCCAAAACCGTCATTTACCAACAGGGCAGAGCAGTCCCTAAAAGGACAATAAAATCTTTCTTCTGCCAAAATCATAGACTCACACAGCATTTCATTCCACCTTTCAGCCACTTCCCTCCCAATTATCGCCATACAATCATTGAGCTCTAGCACTGCTTGGCAGTACAAACCCGGACACATAACAAATCTGTTATTCTCTTCAATCTTTGCAGCAATATGTTTGCTTGTACAGTCGGAACAGAAGGAGTGCTGACAAGTTCGGTTCCTAAACATGTCATCACTTTCTTTCTGTTCCAAGCAAATTTCGCAGAAGCTGTGCGAAGATTCGCCAACCTCTTTGTCTTCATCAAAGAGAGTTGAGATGCAAAAGTCATCCTCAACATTAGAGGTTGATTCTATTCCTATATTGTGGTGAAGATCATCAAAGAGAGTTGAGAGGTAGGAGAAGTAATCCTCAACTTCAACATTAGAGGTTGATTCTTCTGCCATATTATGGCGATGATCTTCCTTCTCGTTACCACAACCTAGAACAAAATCAAGAATAAACACCACACCCTAAACCCCCTTTCTCTCTCGCCGTTTAATAGACCATCTCAAACCCTAAAATTCATTTTTCAAGCCCATGGCACAAAAAACATTAGGTTAGATATTCAAATAAAATTCATTTTTCGAGTTGCTGCGATGGAGTCGAAATATAATTCCGACTACAACATCACATTTCTCTGTACAAATGATGTAGTCTGTATATGATCATGTAAAATGAAGGGATTTGCGACTTTACCCTTTACAAGGCGTAGCTTGGAAGGTCTCTCCCTTGATTGGAAGTCCTAAAGAGTCTTGTAGTCTTCAGCCTTTTGACTTCACTTTTTACTGGTCAATATACCTTGCAATTCTAAATACAAATGTCCCGAATCCCGATCACCAACCATGTCACCCAAAGATCTGGAAACATAGTAGTAGCAATTAAGCAATCTTATACCTTCCTAAAAAACAAAACATTAAGCAATCGTGTACTTAAGATGCCAAGATTTCTTTTAGGCTCGGAAAGGAATTTGGAGGCATAGCGAGGAAATAGAAAGAAAATGATAATGTAGATCGTGTTTGAAATGTTTGAAAGGTTTAAAATGAGAATGAGAAAAGAATTGAGAGGGATAAGGAGTAGGGATGTCAATTTTTACCGCCCCGCCGGGGCCCCGTCCCGTTCCGCCCCTTTAATAACGGATATGGGAACACTTGTTATACCATTGGGGCGGACATGGATACAAATTTTGTACCCGTCGAGGGTCACGGGGCGGGTAAGGGTTCAATATACATATCCTAGGGGCCCCGCCCCGCCCCGCCCCGCCCTGCATATAACTATATTTAATATATATATATATATATATATATATATATATATATATATATATATATATATGTTATTTTAGCGGCTTACCCAACTACCCATCTCTTACAATCCTAATTTGGGATGTAAATTTGGTATTAAATTTACTTTTGTTTTGGTTATGGTGGAAGTTGGAGCTTAGAACTTTTTGTGATTTGGTTGTATTAAACTTTTATTTTTGTTTATTATATTCTCTGAATTATGTTATGTGCATGTTATTTTTTTTTTTTTTTATTAGGATACATAATTTTATTTATGTTGTGTCATTCCTAGGCTTTGCACATTTAAATAGCAGGAGTTTAAGTTCCAAAAAGTGGGAGAAAAAATTTTGTTAGTGGGGCGGGCACGGGGGCAGAGTATTTCCTAACGGGGCGGAGTTGGATATGAACTTGACAAAAATTAAAAGGGGCGGGGCGGGATTTAGGGAAACCCGCTCCAAACCTGCCCCGTTGCCATCCCTAATAAGGAGAGATAACTATATATTTTTGTCGTATCCTATCCTCACATGAAGATGAAAGAAAAATAATTGTATATCAAGTAGTATTTTATAATTTCAAAACTCTAATAATTAAAAGGTAAAAATTGTTACTATATATGTATTTCTGATTAAAAGGATATGATAGTAATTTAGATTGATTGTTATTATGTATTTTCTTTTCTCTTTTCTGTATTATCCAAACAATAATACTATCAATTGAATTCATTTATTTTTACGTTAAAAAAAAATTCATTTATTTTCCTTCTTATTTATCCGAACATAAGTAAAGATTATTGTTATCATTTTATTTATTTTCTCTCATAATTAATGATATTATTTTCTTTCTCTTTTTCTTTTATGTATCCAAAATTATCGTGAAGTGTATTCAAAAAGAGTAATGAACTAATGATAGAGAGTTCAACTTATTTGAAACACATTTTAATAATTTTATGTGAGTAAGGACTGATATCGTCATTACCTCATGAACACATTATGATGATATTAGCCTTTAGACCCATCACTCACATAAATCGGTTGGACTTATTGGGCCAATGGTAATTCATTATCCATTTGATAAAGATAAAAAATAAAATAAATCAACTAAACAATACGATAGCGCAAGTAAAATATCTAATAGAAGGATTGTTGGTGCTCGTGTTTGTTAAATATTGAACACCATAATTTACTAGTATATACTATTAACTGACAATCAATTTTGCACACAGTTAGTTTGATTATGATCAAAGAAATCACCCTAGATAGTACCATGCAATTTGATTGTTTTTAAAAGTCATAATAATTTTTTGTAAAAATCACTCTTACTTGCATGAAAATGGTGTTTGTTAAATTTTTATATATATATATATATATATATATATAATCTTGGAAGACTATCCTAAAGTATATATATAAATACTTTAGGATTGATTATTCTTTCTGTTTTTTTTTTACTCTTCTTCTTCTTCTTCGTTTTTTTTTTTTTTTTTTTTTTTATTGTCTTCAAATAAATTTGCTTTCCCTTTCTCAATCAAACCTTAATTTTTTTTTAACATATTTTTTTGACCATATATACTTTAGGATACTCTTCCAAGATTATATATATATATAATCTTGTACTTAAGATGCCAAGATTTCTTTTAGGCTCGGAAAGGAATTTGGAGGCATAGCGGGAAATGGAAAGAACATGATAGTGTAGATTGTGTTTGAAATGTTTAAAATGAGAGTGAGAAAAGAATTGGGAGGGATAAGGAGAGATAACTATTTATTCCTCCTTATTTGTCATATCCTATCCTCACCGAAAGATGGAAGAAAAATGATTGTAGGTCAAGTAGTATTTTATAATTTCAAAATCCTAACAATTAAAAGGTAAAAATTGTTACTTCAATGTATGTCTTTCTAATTAAAATGATATGACAGTAGTTTAGATTGATTGTTATTATGTATTTTCATAATGCTATCAATTGAATTAATTTATTTTCACGTTAAAAAAAAAAAAAAATCATTTATTTTCTCTCTTATCTATCCAAACATAAGTAAAGATTATTATTATCATTTTTATTTATTTTCTCTCATAATTAATGATATTATTTTCTTTCTCTTTTTCTTCTATGTATCCAAAATTAGGGTGAAGTGTATTCGAAAAGAGTAATGAACTAACGATAGAGAGTTCAACTTGAAACACGCTGAAATAATTTTATGTGAGTAAGGGCTGATATCATCGTAACATGGCGAACACATTATGATGATTTTAGCCTTTAAACCCTTCACTCATATTAATCGGTTGGACTTATCGGGCCAATGCTAATTCATTATCCATTTGATAAAGATAAAAAATAAAAATAAATAAAATAAATCAACTAAAGAATACGATGGCGCAAGTAAAATATCTAATAGAAAGGATTGTTGGTGCTCGTGTTTGTTAAATGTTGAACACCATAATTTACTACGGAGCATATACTATTAACTGACAATCAATTTTGCACACAGTTAGTTTGATTATGATCAAAGAAATCACCCTAGATAGTACCATGCAATTTGATTGTTTTTTAAAAGTCATAATAAATTTTTGTAAAAATCACTCTTACTTGCATGAAAATGGTGTTTGTTAAATTTATATATATATATATAATCTTGGAAGACTATCCTAAAGTATATATGGTCAAAAAAATATGTTAAAAAAAAATTAAGGTTTGATTGAGAAAGGGAAAGCAAATTTATTTGAAGACAATAAAAAAAAAAATGAAGAAGAAGAAGAGTAAAAAAAAAAAGAAGAATAAATTTTTAAAATTTTTAAAATTTTTTTTTTAGAGAAGCATTATGTGATATATTACACACATTATAGGGCATATATATATATATGGACACTTTCATACTTTTCTTAGCGTTTAATGATATAAAAAATCTAATGGGCCAGCTTGGGTCCAGACTCTTCCGCGGGGCGGCCGGGGGGGGTTACCTGGGCTACGCTAACTCTATCTTTTAGTAGCCCAAAACTTTATATGATAAATTTTCTTTAGGAGTGATACTCAAAAGGCTTTCTAACTCCTTTTCGCATTTCTAAAACATTTCTTATAATATAATTTTTGTTGGTAACCAAAAAAAAAGTTGGAAAAGGGGCAGGGGAAGGGTTAAAAAGTGATAAATTGGAAAAAATTGGATAACTTCCTCAACTTTGGATATTACTGAGTATTTATTATTTGAGGTTTTAATTTCATGATTTTTTTTTTTTACTGACAAAAGATTATGAAATCGATTCAAAAAGATCACTTGCGAGATTAAGAACCATTGGAGCTGCATGCACCATCCCCTAACTTACATTTAAGGGCCCATTGCCTTATCAGGGGAATATATATATCCTTACGTAATAATTTTAAATAGTGTCCCCTCTCAAATTTTCATATTCTTTTAATTTACTTTTGAAAAAAAAAATTTACATATATCCCTTCTTCAAATATACAATATTTTTTTCCTTATTTAATTTTTGTTTCCTTTTTCAAAAAAATTATTTTTTCACTTATGTATAATTATTTATTTTTTTTATTATTTTTAAATTATTTCTTTTTATCGATATCATTTGTGATTATTTTTAATTAAAATATTATTAATTAATATTTTGATTCTTATATTTTTAACTAAATTTTTTTTACAGTATATTATTTTACAATTATTTTTTTTTATTTATCTTTTTAATTTACAAAAATTATATTGTCATAATTATTAAAAAAAAAAAAGTTTAATAAGTGCACTGTGCCATCTCTGAAATTAAATTCTGGCTCCGCCCTGAATATAACCATTGAAAATCTCTTGAATCTTTTGCCTACGTATTTCTACAAGCACGTGTGGAAAAACGCAAACACATTTTGTATTTTTGCAATCTCTGCTGTTGTTTTGTCTTGTTTTTCTGGTCAAGAATTTTGTTACATAGTCATATGATTATTATGTTTTTGAAATATTAGAATATTTTGGATAAACATAAAATTTCTTATAGACGTAACTGAAAAGAATTACCTTTGTCACACTATATAAACAGAACAAACCCTATCTGGCTTCATTGTACATCATTCTTGTTTTTTCTGTTCTCTTCCAGACCATGGAGTGTCTAAAGATGATCAAACCTGCCTTTACTCTCTCTTGTTTTTGCATGCTTCTTTGTTATGCCACTGTCCTCAACCCTGTTTCTGCTAAGAAAAGTTGTGATTTTCCGGCCATTTTCAACTTTGGCGAGTCTTTAATTGATTGAATGATCGTCGAGATGGGCAACTTACTGATGCTCATTGAAAAAAATTATTACACACACTAATCAAGTGAAAATATATATATATATATATATATAAAATCAAGTGAAATAACACATATAAATGTAGACTGCTAAAATAAGAGCAATACCGCATTTCAAAATATTTAATACACAATAATGCCACAATGACCTGAATTAGCCCGAGATCATGCATTTCGCTTACTGAAATTGACAAGACTTTGTGGACACAAATGGACTAACAGAGCTAGCCAAAAGAGGCCTTGGACCCGAAATAGATAACACTGATTTCCAACATATATCACGCATTTCTTCACACTGCCAATCGCGGTCGGCAACCACCGTGAGTTTGAGTCCAAGTTGCTCCACATGCATAGCAAAACTGAAACCCACACCTGCAACCATAAACAGCCAAACACACAGATACATACAAACCTTGTTCAAAACTTTTATTTGGACAATTTAAGTATCTATTACAGTATATGAATTTCTCAACTAAAAAGAGACAAAAAGCTGGGTTCAAATTGCATTCTACACAATTGTGGCCAGAAACTCCCCAATTAAAGCCTTACCCGTTTATAAGTATGCCTCATCACGGGATAAACTTATTTAAAACTATAGATACAAATCAAACAATATCAAACCTTCAACCCAAACAAATCCAGTTACTTTGCAGGAAAATAAATATACAAATCCAATCCCCCTTAAACATAAGCCCAAACACTTCAATTCATATCTTAATTTGGATTGTTCTGGTTCAATTTGGTTAATTACCAAACCTCCACACAACAACAACAACTAGAAAATCCAAAAAAAATTCATTCATGAAATATAAAAAAATAAAAATGAACAAAACATAAGTGCACAATGTTATGTCTTATAGTGTACTAATACAAACACATAAAATCGAGTTGTCAATTTGGGTTGAGTTTGGATCATTCAACGCCTCAACTAGGCTCAACCTAAATTAAATTCAAGTTAATGATTTCTCAAAACATGTCAAAAATTAAGTTAGGGTTAGGATTGGCCGGCCTAAGCTGCACTCCTAAATAAAATCAACCTGTAAACATTGTGAAACAAACAACAATGATATTGAATTGTGAATTCTTAAAGAATGGTAAATAAAGCCATACCTGCAAGTCATATGTATACAACCCTCTGTTTTCTCAACATAATAATTGCAGTGTGGGCATTTCATCCAGTTCTTCTCCCTAGCAAGCTCTCTCACCATCAGATCTTCTCTCCCTCTTTCATCCTCATTCAAAATCTGAAACTCCTCGCACTCAATCCCCGGATGCCACGGGACATAACACTGCGCGCAGAATAGTCTCCGGCACACCGGACACTCGGATTCCCTGATGACTTCTCCAGCACCGTCATTAAGCATCATGGCAGAGCAGTCCTTGAAAGGACAGTAAAATATTTCAGATGCCAAAAACATAGACTCGCACAACACTTCATCCCACCTTTCAAGCACATCCTTCTGAATCATCGACCTACAATCATCAAATTCTAGCACTCCTTGGCACTCCACACCCGGGCACAGAACAACTCTCGTGTTCTCTTGGATCTTGGTAGCAACATGTTTGCTTATGCAGTCAGAACAGAAGGAGTGGTGACAAGTTTGGTTCCTAAACATGTCATCGCTCTCTTTCTTTTCCACACAAATTTCGCAGAAGCTGTGCGAAGATTCGCCAACTTCTTCTGCAATCTCAATTGGTTTTTCTGGGTTGGAAGATGAACTTTCTAGGGTTATCAATGGCACGGGATTGTTGGACATTTGGGCAGTGATCAAAGATGCCATTACAGTCTCTTGGAACTGCAGCTCTTCAGCATACTTGGCATCTGATATTGGGAAAATCTGATTTTCTTCATTTTCATGATCAAAGAGAATAGAGAAGTAGAAATCATCCACAAATTGAAGATCAGAGGTTGATTCTAATTTTGCCATATTTCCACAGCTTATTGTGGTGACCTTCCTTCTCTATACAGATTATGTAGTGTGTATAACATCATATAAAATAAAGGGTCTTGCAAACTTTACTAGGGAGTCAATTCTTAGCCTTGAAGCTCTCTTCTTTCATTGGGCATCCTAAAAAGAGCCCTAGTCTTATCCTTTCTGACTTCACTTTCTGTACGGGTCAATATTTTTCAATTCTTTTAAATGCAATTCTGAAAAATCACTCTCTCATAGAAAGATCTAGAGGACCAGTAGAAATAAAGGAATCTTGTTAAGTAGATCAATGGCTAGCCAACCATCCAACTTTATATGATGAACTTTCATAGTGATATTCCAAGAGGCTTCATAACTCCTTCCTTTTTCCCTTTCTAAAACATTTCTTATAATAGGAGTAATTTTTTTTTGTTGGTAAAGGATAAAATGTGGAAAAAGAGAGCGGGGTAGGTAAAAAAAAAAAAAGCTGACCTTTTTTTTTATTTCATATAATATAGGGTTAATTATACTAACACCACTAAGGTAGTGCCTAATTACACAGACGAAACTTGAGGAACAAATTGAAGAAAACCTCTCCAAAGAAACAAGATTACAGAATTCTTACCAAATATGTTAAAATGAAAGATGAAGATGCGATGATGGTGGTGATGACTGATCTGCTCCCAACACAGCCCTCTTCCCTATTCTTCTTTCCTCTTCTCCTTTTCTTCCTCAAATTTCGTGGTCTACCTTTTTCCCTTCCCCTTTCTCTCTCTCCCCCTACTCTAAAGTTTCTCTCTCCTCTTCAGCTTTCTTCTGTTGCGTGAAACGAAAATGAAGGACAAAACAAACGTGTCTCTTTTCCTCTATGCATATAAAGAACACATGGATCCCACTTATATCTAGCACTTGTAACTCTAAAAATGAAAAATCCCCACTACTAACAACTAATCTTATCCTTCGCCGCCACATCCTCTGTTGTTTCCATTTCCCTCCACCACTAACTTGAAAATCACCCAAAAGTCCCGTATATCCACATGCATTTTTAATGTCAACTGTGCACAACATTATCAAATAATAACACAAGTGCCCAATATTTCTATTTTTGATGTAAAACATTTAAATTAAATAAAGATAAGGAAATTAATCTACAAGTATTTTCAAAGCATTAATTAAATACCAATTTACGCAAAATTTTCTCATAAGGACAAAAATAATTAATAAAGTACAAATTGGCTGACGTTTGTCAAACTCACACCGTCTCCCACACAGTGTTTGACCCTTTCACCCTGTCAAAAACTTATTTGATCCTAAATGTACATAAAAAAAAACTAAATTACAAATTTACAATCATACCCTTTTTCCACTGTATGGCAACTAATTTACTATTTGTATGATTGCTTGGATTCTCTCTTTTTGTTTTCATTTCTCTTTATACTTCCACCTCCGTGTAAAACAATATCCCTTCCAAAAAAGATGAATTTTTGGAGGTGAATTGCTAAATTTATGGGGTTAAATTTACCCTTTTTTTTTTTAAAACAAAAAAAAAAAAAAAAGAATTTAGAAATTAATTGTCAAAATCATGGTCATGAAAATTTACTGTACATAATATTTTTATTTCCAAACTGCCCTTCAAACCGTTGAACTGGGTCGTGTGTTTCTCCTCCTCCGTCACCGGCTGCTGCCCTTTCTACTGTTGAACCTGGTCGTCTGTTTCTCCTCCTCCATCACCGGTTGCAACAACTATGCCGTGAATGGCTCATCCAAATATACATTAAAGTGAAAGAGTAGCGATTCTTGTCAACTAAGTTTTTATTAAAATATACATTATCAGTCAAAGCTGCTCTGTTTCTCTTCTTTCAAGCTTAACAGGTTATATATATATATATATATATATATATATATATATATATTATTTGTCTCTGTATGTAACAAGTACTGCACCGCTGTGTACAGGGAGTAAATGCATCCAAACAAAGCCTATCAAATGCATCCAACAGCACTAGAGTACAGGTCATATTTTGTTCAATTGAATACTTTTTTCTGTTTTACTTTTTTCTGCTTTGACAGAGCAACAACGCTTTCCGGGCGGTGAATCTCCTAAAAACGGCAAGAATCGCTGGTACTCTCATCGTCATTAAAGTGATTCCTCGTTATCACAGTGCCTGATATCAATATAGAAAAGGACATTGCATATATGGAAGTGGTTTAAAAATAAAATAATTTAATTAATAATGGTATTGATGTGTTTGGATTGTAGCGTTGGATTGAGAAGTCATGGGATTTGGATTTATATTCAAACTTTATTTTATAGAATCTGTTAGAGAGGGAGGAGAGGCAGAGAGAGGCAGAGAGCCGCGTGAGGATGAAGTCGACGCCGGCGAACAGGGTGACTTCTCCGATGATCGGATTTTGGTTAATTAGTAAAGTTGGTAAAAAGGTAATATGGTTATTTTTCAAGAAAGTTGAGGGGCAATTTGGTAATCAAGATAAATTTCATGTTTTAAGAAACATTGACTTTAATTGCATAAATTTAGCATTTGACCATCATACGTACATTTTTTTTTTAGAATTATCGCCACTAGCAAGTGATCGAGTTCCTTTCCGTTGAACTAAAAAACCTCTTTCATTCTTCCTCAATAATTCCTTCCCCCGACCATATCATACAAGCAACCTCCAAACCGCCATTCACAAAACCACACACAGTACAAACGAAATCAGGGTTTTCGGATTGGACGTGAAGTGTTTGTGTGTGTGTGTGTGAGAGAGACAGAGAGAGACGGTCGGCGGTGGTGGATGAAGCGAGAAGGGTGGCGGGAGGTGGGTTAGGGAGAGAGAGGGTCGTGGATGAAACTGTTGCGGAGGACGGAACGCTTGATTGTGACTGAAAGGCGGTGGTGGTGGACCCAATGGCGGACGAAACTGTTGATTCTGATTGAAAGGCGGTAAATGATGCAAATCAGGCCGACAATTAATTAAAATGCTGTGGAGAAGTGAAAGAATTGAAGGAGACGACCTGTGATTTTCGAAGTTTTCTCTCTCCACCGGGAGGAAACCTCTATTTGCGTCTCTAACCGACTGGAAGTACGAATCTCTGGTAACGAACAGGTCTCTACCGTCGCCGGAAGGTCGGTCGGAGAATCCAGTTCGCCTTTTATTTGGACAACCTCTGTACTGCAAAAGTGGCACAATCAATGGGATTGTTAGTGCATATACCACATATATACATATTTATGTCTATATGTGTTATATAATGAGGGTATGTAATTAGGTTTTTGATGTGAACTTACAGAAGCGCTGGAAGACATGGTGGCATCGGTGGATTATGTTGTGTTTGTGCGTGTGTGTGAGAGATGGCAGGCGGGAGGTGGGTTAGGGGAAAGAGGGTCGTTTGGGGAGAGAGAAGAAATGTCTTAGGAATCATCAGGGGCAATAGAGTCATTTACCATTCCTATTTTATTTTTTCCCATTATAAAAACATTTTAGTGTTCCATTCCTGGTCCAACTTTCATTTAAGTCCTTACCTCCCAAATATGAAATGGATTCATCCTACAACAAAAGAAGCTCTATTCACCGAGTAATATTCAATCATTGGAAAACTTCCTCAATTATGGACCTTATTTATTCACTAAAAATTATTTTTTAAGTTTTAATTTCATAAGTTTTCTACATTCAAGATTCATTTACACACAAATATTGAGACATTTAACACAAAATCATATCGACATTATTGTAATATGGGATAAAACAGCCTAATGGTTGAGTTCATGAAGAAAATAATATTTAAATTGGAGTATTTTCATGATTAATACAAGCACATTTTCCTTACTAAAATAATTGATAGACTTAAATCAGTAGTCATGCTCAGTTCATTTCTTGACACAAATGGGCTGAACAGAGCCAAAAGAGGTCATAGACCTCTTTAAATAGCATTGATTTACAACATTGCTATCTCACACATTTATTCTTGATACTGATAATCGATCATATTGGCGGCTGGCAACCACCATGAGTTTCAGTATAAGTTGCTCCACATGCATAGCAAAACTGGAATCCACACCTGCAACCATAAACAGCAAAGCACTGTTTTACATACCTTGTTCAAAACTTTCATTAATTTTTTTTTTTTTAAAAAAAAATACTTTTATTTGGACAATCTAAGTATCTATCTATTGTATGAATTTCTCAAATCGAAAAGACAACACAATTATGGACAGAAACTACCCAATTCATGTATAACTATGCTTAAAGTATTTAATTAGGCTAGAAAAAATTACCTCTACAAATATGGATCAACATAAAACTACAGATACAGCATGAAACCTTCAAGCCAAACAAATACCAACTAAACATGAGCCCCAGTCTTCACCTCAAATCTCAATTTGAACATAGGTATTACTCTGGTTAAAATCAGGCTATAATTTGGATTGTTACCATGCGAGACTCAAGTAGGGGTCTAGGGTTCATTTTGGTTAATTACCAAACGTCCACACACAACAACAAAAGAATCCAAAAAGTTTCATTCATAAAATATATACAATAAATTGAACAAAACATATGTGCATAAGTTATGTGTTATAGCCAGTTCAAGCTGCACTCCTACAAAGAATCAATCTGTAAACATTGTGAAACAAAGACTCAGTAACAATAACAACACTAAGTTGAATTAACAATTGTTCAAAGAATGGTAAATAAAGCCAAACCTGCAAGTCATATGTAAACAACCCTCTGTTTTTTCAACATAAAATTTGCACTCTGGGCATCTCATCCACTTCTTCTCCTTAGCAAGCTCTCTCACCATCAGATCTTCTTTCCCTCTTTCATCCTCATTCAATCTCTGAAACTCTTCGCACTCGATCCCCGGATGCCACGGGACATAACACTGCGCGCAGAACAGTCTCCGGCACGCAGGACACACAGACTCCCTGATGACTTCTCCAACACTGTCATTAACCATCATGGCAGAGCAGTCCCTAAAAGGACAATAAAATCTTTCTGATGCCGAAATCATAGACTCGCACACCATTTCATCCCACCTTTCAAGCACTTCCCTTACAATCATCGGCCTACACGCATCGAGCTCTACCACTCCTTGGCAGTCCAAACCCGGGCACATAACAACTCTCATGTTCTCTTGGATCTTGGTAGCAACATGTTTGCTTATGCAGTCAGAACAGAAGGAGTGGTGACATGTTTGGTTCCTAAACATGTCATCAGTCCCTTTCTTCTCCACACAAATTTCGCAGAAGCTGTGCGACGATTCGCCAACTTCTTTTTCAATCTCAATTGGTACCACTTCTGACTTGGAAGCTGGAGTTTCTCGGGTTGTCGATGGCGCGACATTGCTGGACATTTGGTCAGCATTGATCAAAGAGACCATTAGAACCTCTTGGAACTGCAGCTCTTCAGCATACTTGGCATCTGATATTGGGAAAATATGAATTTCTTCATTTTCATGATCAAAGAGCAGAGCAGAGAAGTAGAAGTCATCCACAAATTGAACATCAGATGTTGATTCTAATTTTGCCATATTTGCACGGCTTATTGTGGTGACCTTTCTTCTCTATACAAATTATGCAGTCTGTGTATGATCCAACATATAAAAGGAAGGGACTTGGGATTCACACTTTACAAGATACTTAGTTTTGAAGTTATCTTCTTTCATTGGAAATCCAAAAGAGTCCTACGCGGTTTTCACCTTTTTGACTTCACTCCTATACCGGTCAAATACTTTAAAATTTTAAATGCAATTGTGGCAATTACCATGCCACATAAATTAAAGAACTAGTTGCAATTAAGGAATCTTATTAAGTATACTGTAGATCAGTGGGCTAACCAATTAATTCATCAACTTTATCGGATGATCTTTCATGGTAGTGTCTATGATGCTTCATGAATCATAACTATTTCTTTTCCCTTTCAAAATTTTTTTTTCTTATTTCTTGTAAAGGGAAGGAGGTGATGTGGGTAGGTAAAGAAAGTGACTCTTCGCATAATATAACAAGCTCAACTTTCTTAACTTTGGACATCATTTATTCACTGACATTGTTTTAAGTTTAAATTTCATAATTCAACATTCTTTTCTTTTGGAACATTTAACCATTGCCAAGTACGAATATAACTTTGATTCATTAAATATTTTTAACTCTATTACATAAAAATAATTGTATTCTAATTAGTAAATAGTAAAATTACATCGTATTAAATCACGACATAACCTCCATAATTAGTGTTTAGTTCAAAAAAAATCATTCCGATTACCAATTACTGTAAACCTCTATTTTGACTTCTTGATTAATCCCCCAATTTCTCCTTGATCACATAAAAGTTTATTTTTGAAAATATGTGACTTCTTGATTAATCCTCCAATTTCTCCTTGATCACATAAAAATTTATTTTTGAAAATAATATATATATATATAATAAAATCATTTCATTAAAACATGGAACCAATTTGGGATTTCTATGACAAAACTAATCAAATCAAAATAAATATTCACGAATACATACCATTCTAAAAAATTAAAAATACAGGTTCTAATGGAAATTATTCAAAATATCCTGATCTTATACCATAAAACTCACTGAAATAAATCAAAACAACTACTAACCTAAGTCAAGAATTCAAATTTAATGATTACTCGTTATAAAATTAATAAGGAAAGATCAATATGACCGCTATTGTAATTTCTCAACTTATTTTTTGAAAAATGGAGGGGTAGAAAGAAGTAAAATGCAAGGAGAGTTTTATGGAAATTTTATTTTTGGATGGATTTAGAAATGGAGGAAATAGTGTTTGGAGAAAATTTTGTTGAAGATGACAAATGGGAGGTTGAAGTTGATTTTTCAAGAATTAAAAGGCATTTTTTAAAAAAAAGTTAGATTAAAATTTAGGAACTCTATTTTAAGACAAAGAAATGCACTATATCAATAATAGCCAGTCAACTGTAGACATACATATTCTGCTTATGCTATTTTATTTATATAAAATAAACAGTCATCTATTACAATTAAACTTTGTGGTGGTGTAAATAATATATAGACACCAGTGACAGTAATTTAGTAATACTCTCTTAGTTTTTTAAATTAGGTATATGATTTAAGTCTCCATAAAAATAATTTGAGTGTGTGAACTTCTTACCAATTAATTTACCATGAAAATCATAATAAATGCCTACAAAGAGTCGACTAGGTAAAGTTGGACTTGATCCTTTGAGTTAAATATTTTGTTATCCTAAGTTAAATTCGCTACAAATTGACACTGACATTTAAAATATATTAGTAACGAATTGAACTTGGGATAACTTAAAGAATCCAAGTCCAAAATGATATTTTTGAAAATCTTGGGTACTTTGGAGAAAATTGGAAAAGTGAAGGGTAAAATGTTACTACGTCCGTCCCAAATTAGATGTCTTGTTTGGGGAATTGTGTTGTGAGTTATGGTTTCCCAAACATGACATTTAATTTAGGATGGATGGAGTACATTTTAGAGATTTTATGTGAAAATGAGAAAATGGGGTTAAACAATAATTTTGAGAATAAAAATAAATAAATAAAATTGCAGTAGAGATTTAGAATATTTTATTCTTTTGGGTAAAATTGCAAATTGATATATTATGCAAACAGCATTTAGGAATTCTTGAGAAAATGACAAAGAGGATGGATTTATAAATGGAGAAAATAGCGTTTGGAGAACATTTGTAGAGATTTTATTGAAAATGACAAATGAGAGCTTGAAGTTGATTTTACAATAATTAAAAGGCATTTTTAGAAAAAATTAAAAATTAGGGACTATATTTTAAGAAGAGGAAATGCTCCATATCTTTGAAAAATGGAGGGGAAGATGTAAAATGCAATGTGAGTTTTATGAAATTTTAATTTATGGATGGATTTAGAAATGGATGAATGTTTGAAGAAATTTTTTATCGGTTATGTGATATTTGGAGAAATCTTGTTGAAAGTAACAAAATGGGAGGCTAAAGTAGTAGTAGTAGTAGTAGTAGTAGTTTTTTTTTTTTACTTTTCTTTTTTTTAAAAAAAAAGGATAAAATAATTTAGTGTTACACCCTCTTAAATTTGACCAAATAACACATTAAAATAACTTTCAAAATTTGTTATCATTACGTTAAAAATGTTTGAAATGATAATTTTACCCTTAATTTTTTTTAAATGATAATTTTACCCTTAATTTTTTTTAATGATTTTTATTTCAAAGTATTGTTCTTTTATTTTTTTTCTTTTTCATTTTTTTTTTTTGGGCACCGGTGTTGGTGTTGTCCGACTACTAAAGAGTGTTTTACTTGGGATCAAATGTCATTATGCGATGCCAATTGCCCTAGTCCTCCCTTGGCTTAATTATGTAGGACCATTAAAACCACAGTTTGTACTTCCAACTTTCTGGAATATGAAAATCCTTTCATGAATGGACTTCAATTTTAATAATATAGATTTAAAATTGAAATTAAAGTTCATATATGATTCATATAGATCTGTTCAAATTTAAGGATGGAGAGTCCAATTTTTACTTTATTTGTATCTCTTCTAAAGTATCAATACCTTACCTCTCTATTAAAGGAGAAATTTGTTAGATGGTACGACTAATCACAAATTGTCGTCTAATTAAATGTGACAATTTTTTTAAATTTTTAATCCTGTGTCAACTTGTGATTGGACAAACTACTCAAGTTATATATATATATATATACTATTATTAAATGTGCAAAGTGTTTCAGTATTTCAGTATTTCCTTATTTATTTATTTATATAAAAAATATTTATTAATTGATATAAAAATAATTTAATAGCTTTTATAAAACTTTAAAAATTACTTAATAAAATCAATCACATTCTATATAAAACTCTTATTTTTTTATGGATAATTTTAGTTTCTATAAAACTCTAAAAATTACTTAATAAAATCAATCACATTCTATATAAAACTCTTATTTTTAGTTATTTTTTATAGATAATTATTACAATATAACCGGCCTGGCCCAATTATGATTATGTCATTATCAGAAAATGACATATGTCATCATTCTATTCATCCAAGAAATCTATAAATAGAGACATGGAGGAAGGAGGAAGGGGTACAGAAATTGAGAATTCTAGAAATTCAGAATTCCAGAATAAAATACAGAAGGTCTGCCAAAGAGTTTCAGTATTTCAATATTTATTTATTTATATAAAAAATATTAATTAATTGAGTTGAATTTCAGAGTAAAATACAAAAGCTCTGTGAAGAGTTTTCAGTAGTTATTTATTTATATTTATATTATTATTAGATGTGTAAAGAGTTTCATTATTTATTTATATAAAAAAATATTTATTAAATGATATGAAAAGAGTTTTTACTAAAACAAAAAAAAAAAAAAAAAATCTATACTATTATTAAATGTGCAAAGTGTTTCCGTATTTCAGTATTTTTTATTTATATAAAAAAAATTATTTATTAATTGATATAAAAATAGCTTTTATAAAATTTTAAAAATTACCTAATAAAATCAATTGCATTCTATATAAAACTCTTATTTTAAATTATTTTTTATGGATAATTATAATTTCTATAAAACTCTAAAAATTACCTAATAAAATCAATCACATTTTATATAAAACTCTTATTTTTAGTTATTTTTTATAGATAATTATCACAATATAACCTGTCCCACCCAATTATGATTATGTCATTATCCGAAAATGACACATGTTATCATCCTATTCATCCAAGAAGCCTATAAATAAAGGCATGGAGGAAGGAGGAAGGGGTACAGAAATTCAGAATTCTAGAAATTCAGAATTCCATAGTAAAATACAGAAACTCTGCCAAAAGTTTCAGTATTTCAGTATTTATTTATTTATATAAAAAATATTTATTAATTGAGTTGAATTCTCTGTCAAGAGTTTTCAGTATTTATTTATTTATATAAAAATATATTTATTAATCGATATAAAAAGAGTTTTTATCTATATTATTATTAGATGTGTAAAGAGTTTCATTATTTATATATATATATAAATATTTATTAAATGATATGAAAAGAGTTTTTACTAAAACAAAAAAAAAAAAAAAAAAAAAAAAAAAAAAAAAAAAATCTATAAAATAGTAAAATCTACATAATAAAATTTAAATTAACCTATTTATCTATTTATTATTATCCATTTTAAATAAAAGAAAATCTAATTAGCCAAGATTTATTAATATAAAAATATTTATTAATTGATGTATAAAATAAAATAATTTTTATAAAACTTTACCACAAATTAGCTTTTATTATGAGTATCTTAATAAAATTAAAACTAATTAGACAGATATATATTTAAAGAGAATAAAATAATTTCAATAAAACTCTATTACAAATTACCTATTTTATTATCAATAAAACTCTATCCACAAAGATATATTTAAAGAATTTGTATAAAACTCTAACACAAATTGCCAATTTATCAATTTATCATGAGTTTTTTTAATAAAAGGAAACTTAATTAGACAAGTATTATTAATATAAAAATTATTTATTAACTGATACAAAAGGAGGTTTTTAAAGAGTTTTTAAAACACAAATTACCTATTTATCTACTTATTTTGAGTTTTTTTTTTACTAAAAGTAA